ATGAACAACAGCTTCACAGCTGGACTGCTCTCACCAGGCGGTTGGGACCAGGCAACACAGGAGTTTTTTTTATTAAAAGCCATAAACCTCTCTTCCACTTCACAGGGCCACAGGCTCTCTAAGCTCCTCCGAGTGACACATGTACCAAGGACTCCGTGACTCTTGAGGGTGGAGTCTGAGTGCCTGCGGAGGGAGGTGAACGGCTGACCGAGTACTGTGACCCTGGTCAGGCTGGACTCCTCCCAGGACAGGCTGCACCCCGCAGGTCTCGGGTCTCCTAGGCAGGCAGCCCAGGCCTGCAGTTACAGCCACAACCAATAGAGGGCAGTGTCCCGGGCCCGGGCGCAGGGCTGGGACCTGGGTGTTCCTGAGTGACCCAGGCCCTGAACCCATTAGCAGGAGCTGCCCCCTGCCTCCAGGCCCGGCAGAGCCCCGCCCAGGAGGAAAGGAACAGAAGCAGTCGGAGATGAGGAGGAACTCAGGCACGTGGCCCCGCGGTTTCAGTGGGTGATGACTCCTTTTGTATTATTGATATTTGCAAAGGAGGAAATGTTGCTCGGGGAGGTGACTGGCCCAGGTTGTTTCCTAAACTTGCCTCATCCTGAGAATCCCCTGGGAGCTTAATAAAAATACAACTTCCTCAGTCTCTCCCCGCCCCCGCCCCCCCCACCCCCCCCCCACACACACACCTTCCTGCTAAATCCATGGCTCCTGGGGAATCTGGGTTTTTAACAAGCGTTTTTAGCGATTCACCTCAGACATGTTGAGGGAATAGTGCCCTTATACCAACAGTCTCCCTGTCCAAGGCCTCGAATCACCTCCCTAGAGTCACCCCCATTATACCCCCTGGATGGGGGTAGGGCTACTTGGGTGGTATTTCAGTCTGTGCTGCCTGCAGACCCGCCGCCTCCCAAGCCCTGGACCCCAGGAACACAGAGGGGTTGTTTGCCTGAGTTTTCAGCCACAGAAGAGGGGCTGATGGCCTGGAGCTCCTCCCAGGTCCCCGGGAGACCAGGTCCCTCTGGCCCTTCCCAGTCTGAGTGTCAGCCTGGACCAGGAAGCTGTGGCCAGATGTCAACACCAAGGCTTGTCCCTGTTGCTGTCCCTGCCCTGCCTTCCAGAAAGTGGGATAGACAAAAACACGCTGAGGCAGGAACGGACGGACAGATACAGACAACCTGGCCTCGCCTGCTGGCGCCGATCTGGCAGAACACACAGCTCTGAGGCCCAGCCCCCTGCTTGGCTCCCATGTTCCCTTCCCACTCTGCAGATGGAGGGGCACGAGGAAGATCCATTTTGACCTGTAAGTGTGAGGAGAACAGTGACCGGGAATAACCTGAAGTGCAGGAATGATAGGGGGAGTGCGGGATAAGGAAGGTCGGGGGGGGGGGAGAAGCACTGGGCCAGACAGCTCTCCATGTGGCCATAGGAGAGCCATCAGCTGTCTGGGAAAATGGTGAGGAGGTTCAGGGTGGTTGGTAGGTGAAGTGGGGGTCAAAGGACTGTCCTACATGTCCATAGGCCCAGGGAAGGCAATAGAAGGGAAAAGAAGAGAGGAAGGGGGAGAAAGAAGGAAATACTTTGAAGAGTATTACCCTTGAGTCACGTACTATAGCAGACATTTTACACATTGTAACCTCATACTCATTCTGCAAGATAAGTATTTGTTCATTCATTCATCCATTCATTGTTAAACAAGCAGACACTGAGGGCCCAGCTGTATGCCAGCCACTGTTCTTGGGGTTAAGGATATAGCGAATAAGACAGGCAGACAAGTTCCCTGTTGTCTTAGATCTTATCTCCAATTTACCCATTAAAAAAACAAAGCCCTTGCCCGGCCAGTGTGGCTTGTGGTTGAGTGTCTACCTATGAACCGGGAGGTCACAGTTCGATTCCCGGTCAGGGCACATGCCCGTGTTTCAGGCTTGATCCCCAGTAGGGGGCGTGTAGGAGGCAACCGATCAGTGATTCTCTTTCATCATTGATGTTTCTATCTCTCTCCCTCTCCCTCTCTGAAATCAATAAAAACATATTTGTAAAAACAAAACACACAAACACAAGGCCCAGGTCTGTGAGTACAGGTACCAGAATTGGGATTTAAAAACCAAGATTTGCATGACTTCAAGTCTAACCTTTGCATAGCCTCCTGACCTAAGGGTTGGCTGTGTTCACAATAAGGCACATCAGGGCCGGCCTGTGAGGAGAGGTTTGGTCAGCAGACGGGTGGGTAGGAGAAGGCTCTCAGCGGCCCTGGGGTCATGCAGGTGTCGGTGGGGCTCTCATTAGCAGACACCTGTCTACTGAGTGCAGGCCCTGTGCTGCAGGCTTCAGGTTTCCTAAATGAATCTTTGCAATCAGATTGCAAGGCAGGAGTCACTGACCCCACTGCACAGATATGGTTAGCGACTTCCCGCGGCCACACAGCTAGCAAGTGGTGGCCCACCCACCAGGCTGCCTCCGGGGAAGGGTTGCAGGACCAGTCCAAATGCTTGTCTCCTGCTGGATGGGAAGCCCGAGCTCCTCTTTGCTGTGTGTACACCTTCACATCCACCCTCCCAGTGAATGTATAGATGTGGGTCTCGGGAAGCCCTTAGGTTGGCTCAATATAAGATGGGAGAGAGCTGCCAAGTGTTCCCCCCAAAAGATGCTCTTAACACTGCACCAGGGGGAAGGGAGAATGCCTAGAAAGGGGCTTTCGGCCTCGCGTCGCTGCCCCGCTGTCTGGCCCCGCGGACTCACGACTGGCGACCCGCTACTGACCAATCTGCCCGGGACTCGTGTGCACCGTGTCTGGTTCCTCCAGCGTCACCGCTATGAAGGAAGTGGTTCAACCGTGAGGTTTCCCAGGCAGCTGACAATCTGAAACAATTCTGTCTGCAGAATGCTCAACGTGACCCCCTGCTGATGGGAGTATCTTCGAGTACCAATCCCTTCAGACCCAGAAAGCTTGTTCCTTTCTGTAATGAAATGAACTGTGAAGGTGTCTAAACCACGTTTCTTTTCTTTTATTTATTTATTTATTTTTATAATATATGTTTATTGATTTCAGACAGGAAGGGAGAGGGAGAGAGAGATAGGAACATCCATGATGAGAGAGAATCATGGATTGGCTGCCTCCTGCACACCCCCTACTGGGGATCGAGCCCACAACCGGCATGTGCCCTTGACCGGAATCAAACCCGGGGCCCTTCGGTCCACAGGCAGACGCTCCATCTGCTGAGCCAAATCGGTTAGGGCTAAACCACTTTTCTTGAATCAGTGAATATTCAAAGAGAGCTAAAGCTGAAGCCTGTACAAAAAGCTTATCCTATAACATGTGCCATACTGTACAAACTTCTGCTTTTGTCAGCCCTTAACATCTATCTCTCTGAATTTTCATGAATTTCTATTTCACAACAATGATTATTTTATACTAGAGGCCTGGGTGCATGAAATTTGTGCATGGGGGAGGGGGTCCCTTAGCCTGGCCTGCACCCTCTCCAATCCGGGACCACTGGCTCCTAACTGCTCACCTGCCTGCCTGCCTGATCGCTCCTAACCACCTCTGCCTGCTGGCCTGATCGTCCCTAACAGCCTCTGCCTGCCAGCCTGATCACCCCCTAACTGCCCTCCCCTGCCAGCCTGATCACCCTCTAACTGCCCTCCCCTGCCAGCCTGATTGCCCCCTAACTGCTCTCCCCTGCTGGCCTGATCACCCCTTACCGCCTCTGCCTTGGCCCCCACCACCATGGCTTTGTCTGGAAGGATGTCTGGAAGATGTCTGGTCTAATTAGCATATTACCCTTTTATTAATATAGATACACTGGCAGCAGCATACAAATAAAATAGTATAAAAAGTAATAAAAAAAAAAAAGAAAGAAAAGAAAAGAAAGAAATGGGCAGGAAACTGAGATTTTGGCTGAGAAATCACTTGTGTTCTCTCTCTCTCTTTCTCTCGCTCCCCCCACCCCCCAATGAGAGGCCCCAAGGCACCAGAAAGAGTGACAGGCACAGTGTTGCTGGGCCCCTGAGGCCCAGGACGGGGCCAGGGACAGCCTTCCCCAGACCTGGTCATCCCCTAGACCTGGCTCAGGGGTACCTCCCCGATCTCCCCTGTTGTAGCTGCCCGTCTCCGTCTAGATGCCTCCACATCATGGTCTCATCTTACTCACATCTGCCTTCTCAGTGGCCACCAGGCCTGGCAAAGGGCAGGTATGACCACTGTGAGGGAAAAGGATTGAGGGGGGGAGGGTGTAGGAAGGTTGGGAGGAAGGGTCCTGAGGAATTTGGACAGTGAAGAAGAGATGGCGTCCCCACTCCCTTCTGCCTGTGCCACGACCCCACGCACACATGACCGTGACCACACAGGCGCTGGGTGAGTAGCTGCTGGGGGTGGTAGAGAGACAAGAAGCCACATACCATGGCTGGTGTAGCTCAGTGGTTGAGCGTCAACCTATGAACCAAGAGGTCATGGTTCAATTCCTGGTCAGGGCACATGCCTGGGGTGTGGGCTTGATCCCCAGTACAGGGCGTGCAGGAGGCAGCCGATCAATGATTCTCTCTCATCATTGATGTTTCTGTCTCTCTTTCTCTCTCCCTCTCTGAAATCAATATATTAAAAAAAAAAAAAAAAAGCCACATACTTCCATTTTAGCCAGTGATGACTCTGAGCACATGCCTCCCACTGTCTTCGTAAAGTGAGGGTGCCCATCTCACTGTCCTTGTTTTTTAGGAGGGAATTAGATCAGAGGGGCTGGTGTCTTCCCCAAGGCCCTGGTCAGCGGGGGGAGAAGTCAGATCAGAACTCCCGGCAGCTGGGAAACTCCCCTGGTCCGCTCTCCATGCAACCAGCCTGAGCTGTTCCCTCCTTCCACTCTCATGGGGGCTGGAGTTGGGCCGGAGGGACCCAGCCGGACCCGGCCGAGCAGGAGGAGCCACTGGGGAGGCCGGGTGGGTGGGGACAGCTCCACCTGTTGCCGCTGCCTGAGAACTGCTGGCCGGAGGGAGCAGCCCGTCCCTCACAGTCCCTGTCCATTGTCATCGCTGTCTCAGCTGCTATATTTAAGGCCGTGCCGGCTCCAGCATCGCACTCTCCTCCCGTCCCCGCTGAGCCCAGGGCAAGGAGACACCAGGCATCCTCCGTCCTCTGGACTCTTCTCCCCACAGACGCCCAAGTGGACAGGCTGCCGCTGTGAGCACCTCCAGGGACAGGGTGGGAGGGACCCTCCAGGAAGCCAGGCCCTCACTTCTCACTGGGAAGTGGGGTATGGGGTGTGGGGTGTGGGGGGTGGGGACTGGGGGGTGTGGTGTGTGTGGGGTGTGTGTGGGAGGGGTGTGTGTGTGTGGGGTATGTGGAAGGTGTGTATGTGGAGGAATGTGTGGATGGTGGGGTGGTGAGGTGGTGTGTGTGCGATGTATGGGGTGTGTGGGAGGGGCATGTGTGGTGTGTGTGTGTGTGTGTGTGTAGTATGTGTGTATGTGGTGTGTGTATGTGTGTGGGGATGGGAGAGGGTATGTGTGTTTGTGTGTGATGTGTGTGATGTGTGTAATGTGTAGTGTGTGTGTAATGTGTGTGGGGGGTGTGGGTGTGTGTGAGAGAGGGGAGCCTAGACATCTCCCTCCACCCCCTCCTGTGCGGTTGGGGTCTTCTGAGCTGAGCCCCTGTGATGCGAAAGCTGAGAAACAAAAGGCCCCTGGGGGTACCTGGGGGTGAGGCGCCTGCATGGCAGGGGCAGGGGGGCTGCAGGCCCAGCAAACCTAGGCCGTGCCGGTCCTGCGTGGCAGGGAGAGAGAGCCAGCCCGCTGGGCCCAAGCCACAGGCCAGAGGGCGCTCACCCAGCATGGTTCCCTGGCAGGAAACTGAGGCCCAGACAGGGCAGAAATGGTCTCCATTGCTCAGCAGCAAGGTCAGAATCCCTGCCTCTGAGACGCTGGTGGAGCCAGGGCAGGAAGACTGACAGGCTGTCTCTGCTCCGCAGGCAGGGCCCACACAAAGCTGCACCCCCTCCCCCCTCCACTCCTCCCCCCAGCACCTCTCCTCCCCTCCTGAGGACGGGGAGAGGCGCCTTGCCCCTCAGAGGGCCGTGCAAAAGCAGGCTAAGGCTTGGGAGGCAAGTGGCCACATGGCAGGACCTCTAGCCCCAGCTTTGCCCGCCCCCCTCCGACCAGAGGGTGGCGGGGGGAGGGGGGTGTTTCTCACCAGCCCTCACCCCACAGACCCCTCCCCACCAGGCACACACAGCATCTGGGAAGAGGGCAGGGGAGGCTGTGCTCCTGATGCTTAATCCTGAGCTCAGTCAGCGCTTTAAAAAGAACCGATGGCTCATCCGCTAAAGCGGGCGTCTGGTTTCGGGGAGGCCCAGGAGGTCAGGGATGGGGGCCAGGCCCACCCACTGTGCTAATTGGGACGGAGCATGGGGAAGGGAGCCAGCCACTGACGCCAGGGAACGTGAAACCGCAGCGGCTGGGGCCAGGGCCACGGTGTCCCGGGAAAGCCACCCCCCCACCCCCACCCCCAGGTGGTACCTACAGCTCTCCTCTCGGCTGTGAGGAGCAAAGAGCAGGAGACAGCCGTTCTCTGGGTGAGGCAGACCCTCTTCCTCGGGGCGACCGGATGGGAACCCACGGGTGCTGCCCTGTTGTGTTCAGCCGAGGTCAGGGCATGAGGCCGAGGAAGCTTTGGGGCAGCCGTGGCCCCAGCAACACCCCTCCATGGTCCAGTCCCTCTTGGGGGCTCTTTGTGGACACACAAAAGGAACAAACCTTCAGGAACTGGGAGGCCTCAGTGAGTGGCCACCAGGGGTGGCCTTTGGCGCCTGAGCCCCTGACACCCCACACAGGCCTCAGGCCCAGGGTCCCGGGGAGGCCAGCGGGCCCTCCTGCCATGAACTTAGAGACGTGGTTACTCAGGTGCCCTGTTCACACCAGGTCAGAACACACACACACATATGCACACACATGCACACATACACACACACATACACACACACACACACACACACGCCCTTGGGGGGCGGGACCCCCAAAGCTGGGCCTCGTGGGAGCAGGCAGCACCAGGCTGAAGTGTTAGTCTCGTCTGCTTGCTTCTTCCTGTCCAAGGTCTGCATCAGGTCCAAGCCGGGCAAGGACCCTCGCAGGTCAGAGGCCTGCCCCCCAGAGCCCCCACCTGGAGAGCGTGTCAAAGCCGTTCAGGGAACTCTCCAAGCATCCCAGAGCCTCGGCCTCAGAGGGGCCTCAGGGGGGCACAGACTCACCTCTGGGAGGGGACTTAGCACAAGAACCCACAGCAGCGAGCGCGAGCCTCCTCACCTCTCTTGGGTTCGCTCCCTGATCCCTGAGCCTCTTTCAGACCAATTTGATCTAACCCCACTGGGCACCACCTGGGGCCCAGACCTGAGCCTCGGGAATACAAGGGGGACCCCATTCCATTGCGACCCCCTTACAAGAAGAAAGGCCATGTGGCCCACTGTGTCCCCAGCCTCGGCCCAGGCCTGGCCCTGCATAGATATGTGGTGTGGAGGTCGGGAGAGCTGAGTGGCGCAGACCCAGTGCCAGTCGTGGCCCCACCACCGCCTGCTGAGTGGCCTTGGGCAAGCACCTCCCCTCCTTACAGGTAAAGTGGCTGATGACAGTTGCTGCCGTGTGATTTGGATAATTGCAGGGACCAGGATCGATGCATCTGAAAACTCCTAACATGCGGTCTGGCCCACAGTGAGCACGTGCTGTGGTGACTTTCAATTCATTTACAACCTTGTTGAAGGTCAAGGTGCACAGATATGAAGTAATTAAATGGTGAGAGGAGGCATTTTTTTAATCAGAGCTAACTTGTCAAGTCCAGATACAAAGTACAAAAGGAATTAGAGGAGGGGAAGTCTAAGTCAGCGGTCGCCAACCTTTCGGACCTCATGGACCACCAGTGTCCTCGGACCACCGGTTAGCGACCACTGTTCAAGTGGCCTGCAGTTTTTCAGCAGCACTTGGAAAAAATAACGTGAATGTCTATCACTTGTAAGTACCTACTATGCGCCGGCCACTCATCAAACCTCTACAACCACCTGAGGGGTCGATAGACCCATTTTATAGATGAGGAACCAAGTCATAGAGCCGCGGTTCTCAACCTGTGGGTCGCGACCCCTTTGTTGGTCGAACGACCCTTTCACAGGGGTCGCCTAAGACCATCCTGCATATCAGATATTTACATGACGATTCATAACAGTAGCAACGTTACAGTTATGAAGTAGCAACGAAAATAATTTTATGGTTGGGTCACAACATGAGGAACTGTATTTAAAGGGCCAGAAGGTTGAGAACCACTGTCATAGAGTCTTGCCCAAGGTCACACACTTGTAAACTGGAATGAGAAGCTGTGATCACAGTGGGGAGCGGGGCGCGGAGGGGGGGCGGGCTGGCCCCAGAGTCGCCACACTCAGCCTTCGTGCTCACTGACGCTCACTTACGCATGCTCACATGCTCGGGTTGGGCTTTGAAGTGTGACTGAAAAAACAGCAGGAGGAGAAGATGCTCCAAGTGAGGAAACCAGTGAAGGCTGCGGGGTAGGACTGTGCGTGGCGAATGCAGGGAGAGCAGAGCAAGGACAGCTGCCCATCCTGGGTCTAGAACACCCCTTGGACATTACAGCCATCGATCACCTGGGAAGCTGGGGCCCAGGGAAGGCAAGGCCTTGCCCCAGGTCACACAGCAAGGCAAGGACAGAGTTTCGGCTGGAAGCCTGATCCCCAAAGCTGGGCTCTACTCACTGAGCTGGGGAAGGCGGGGGGGGGGGGGGGGGTGGCGAATAAGCCAGGCTCGGGGCACAAAGTCCGCCTCCGTCACCTTGGCGAGTCCCTCTCCCTCTCAGGCCTCCGTTCCCCTGCCTGCCCACTGGAGAGAGAACCCCCCACCCCGCCACCCACCAACCTCCCCGAGATGCTGGGACCACGTGGGGAAGGGATGGGCCCACGCCTGGTGGAGTGACCCTGCGGCCTTGGCTTGGCAGGTTGTCGTTTTCGCAGCCATGACTCTGCCCCACAGCCCTGGAAATGTGGGGGAGCCCCAGCCCCCCCAGGCCGTGGAGGTCCACAGGGTGGAACGCCGCCAGGAGGAGGAGCAGAAGGAGCAGCGGCAGCACAGCCTGCACATGGACTCCTCGGTGCAGAGGCGGACCTTCCGCAGCAGGTGGGAGCATCAGGGACCCCGCCCCGGCCACTGCCCTACCCCTGGGGTCCCTAGTCTGAGGGAGAGGCTCCAGTCCGAGGAGGAAGGCACAGCCATGCCTCCTGGTCGCTGGGGTGGAGGTGGGTAGCTGCAGCCCTAAACTCGAGGAGCCCCAGCCAGACCCCCGCCATTGCCTCTCTCTCCCGGGGCAGTGAGGAAGAGTACCAGTTCAGCGCCGCAGACCACGCCCTCGCAGCCGCCTTGGCCCTCACAGCCTCCTCCGAGATGTCTTGGTAAGTGAAGCGACCTTTCCAGAGAGCCCTGGGCTCAAAGGGGCCATCCCATCCAGGCCCCGCCTCCCTCCTGGGCTCCCACTCTGCGCTTAAAGCTGCCCACAGTGACACATCTAGACTAAAGGGGCTAGCTAGACCAAGGTCAAAGCCCAGGATGTCTGACCACAAAGCCCACCTCGCCACCCTGAGTCCACAGGCAGGCGTGAGGGACCATCCCCGAGAGAGAGGGTGGGGATCCACCCTTCCCCAGCCGGCTGCACATGGAGCGGGAGGGGCTGGGGAGCCGAGGAGCATGTAAAGGAGCCCCAAGTTTCAGACACGAGTCCCAAGGCTGGAAAGGCCTCTGAGTGTGAGAACATCAGGGGGCCGCGCCCTGGGCTGGGAGGCCTGGGTCCTGGTCCTGGCTGGCCCGAAGCAAGTCACTGAGCCGCAGGTGTCTGTCTGTCCTGTCGAATGGCGAGACTAGCCCGGCCGGTGTGGCTCAGTGCTTGAGCGTCAACCTATGAGCCAGGAGGTTGTGGTTCGATTCCCAGCCCAGGCACATGGCCACCCCCAAACAGAGCAGCGGCTGCCGGGTTGAGGCTCAGTCCCCAGGAGGGGGCCTGCCGGAGGCAGCCGATCGATAATTCTCTCTCATCATTGATGTTTCTTCCTCTCCCTCTCCCTCTCCCTTCCTCTCTGAAATCAATAAAATATATTAAAAAGAAATAAATAAAATAAAATGGCAAGACTAATGCCTGTCCACTTAGTTGCAGTGAAAACAGGAGGGACAATGGTTTGTGAAAGGGCCTTGCAAACCATATTGAGAGCAGCTATTATGCACCTTCTGTAAGCAGGGCCCATGCACGGTATTTTGGAGGCAAGAGAGGATTAAAAGTTGCTCTTGTCCTCAAGGGGCGTAAAATACAGGTGGCAATGCTGGGCGTGGGGGTGGCACTGCCCTTCCCCAACGCTGGGTCCTCAGCCACTGAGTCCTCTGTCGCCACAAGGAGGCCCAGCTGAGGCGCCAAACCTCCACCGTGGAGCTGGAGGAGCGAGGACAGCGGCGCGTGGGCTTCGGCAATGACCTGGAGAGGACCGACATCGCCTTCCTCCGGACCCAGCGGCTGCTGCGCCAGAGCCGCGACCGGAAGGCGCTGAGACGGCGGGTGAGGGGATGGGCTGGGGACCCCAGGGACCTGAGGCCTGGGACCCATCACATGCCACCCACCTCACTCTACCCCCTTCTCTCTCTTTTTTAAAAATATATTTTATTGATTTCAGAGAGGAAGGGAGAGGGAGAGAGAGAAACATCAATGGTGAGAGAGAATCATTGATCAGCTGCCTCCTGCACGCCCCCTACTGGGGATCGAGCCCGCAACCCAGGCATGTGCCCTGACCGGGAATCAAACCGTGACCTCCTGGTTCATGGGTTGGTGCTCAACCACTGAGCCACACCGGCTGGGCTCTCTACCCCCTTCTCAAGAAGCAGCTGGACATCAGGAAAGAACCCCGGCCCTGGACATGGACCTGGGTTTGAATCCCGGTGCCCCATCCCCAGCTGTGTGACCTTAGACAAGGCACTGATTCCTCCTGAGGCTTTCTCGTCTGCAAAATACATGTCTGTGGTTGTACCAGCCCCGTCCTGAGATGTGAATTAAATGAGACTGAGCTTCTAATGTCACTTTCCCAGGGCCCAGAACTCAGCAGGCCCTCGGGAAATCTATTCCTGAGAAATGTCAGGGGTTGAAGTCACACTCTGTACCCCCTCCCTGGGCAGGAGAGCAATGCCCATGGTTTTCACATATTAACTCATTGGATCCTCACTCCAGCCCCACAGGAGGGCGGGGGAATGTTATTATCAGCCATTTTGCAGAAGAGGAACCTGCGGACTTGCCTATGGTCTCACAGCTAGGAAGTGGCAGAGGTTGGCCGTGACCCCGGCCCGCTGGGTCCACGGGTCATGGGCCGCACTGCCTCTCCGATGCTGCTGAACACTCCAGCTCCCGTGGATCTGACTCCAGAGCCGGGTGTCGGGAGAGGTGGCCGTGAAGATGGGGGGGAGTTGGTGCCCAGGCTCAGAGCGGTCACAGACCTGCTCCTGCCTCCAGACAGAGGAGAAGGTTCGGGAGGCCAAAGAGCTGAGGGAGCTGTGTTCCGGCCGTGGGCCCTGGTTCTGGATCCCACTTCGCTCCCACGCCGTCTGGGAGCGCACCACGGTCCTGCTGACCTGCACCATCCAGGCCTCGCCAGCACCCCAGGTCACCTGGTAAGACACTGGGGCCGGAGAGAAGGGCCCTCGCCTCATCTCTATGGTTACGTGAGTGTGAGTTCCTTACTCCCAACATCCTCCAGGAGCCCAGTCCCTCCCGCAGCAGTTCCTGCTGCCTTAGAAAAGCTGCAGCCCTGCCCAACACCCCCGCCCCAAACAGAGCAGCAGTTGTTGGGGAGGCTCAGAAGGGGGTATTCTTAGCTGCCTCCCAGCCAGCCTGGGGCTAGAAGACTGAGCCACCAGGGAGCCAGCACTTGTAAAAATACGATTCTGGTGGCATGAGAAGGCAGCTGCTCCCAGCTGGGGATCTCCAGGATTAGAGGATGATGGCAGGAGGCAGGGAAGGGGGCAGGGAAGCAGGGGAGGAGGCAGGGAGGGCAGGGGCCCTACAAGGAGGAGCTCAGGCCTGGAGTGGAAACCCTACACTCGAGGCCTAGCTCTCTCTCCCTCTACTAACTCACTGTGTGATCTTTGCTACATCTCTTAATCTCTCCAGTCCTGCCTCAGTTTCCTATTCTGTAAAATGGGTTGAAGACCTCCTGTCCAGCTTGCATGTGCTGAGGATCTAATGCCACAACAATGTGGAAGCTCTCAGAACTTGGAAGGTGCTCGAAAAGCAGGAGATGTCATTCCTGGGGGGTGGCAGGTGTCTCCTGAACAAGCTGGTGGAGATGGGAGTGGGCATGGCCCTGTTCGGGGTCTCGGTTCTACGACTGAAGGAGGCGTGTCCTTCACACAGTCCTGAGCCCACTGCTTCCTGAGTTCCCCTGAGTCTAAGGCCCATTATCACTCACACTGGAAGATGAGTAAGGGTTTTCAGCCAATATTTACAAGCATACTCTGTCCCAGGCCCTGACGCGGGCACCGTGGTATAGAAATGACTCAGACACAGCCTCACCTGGGGGAACTCTCAGCCCAGAAGAGAAACGTCGACACACAGAGAAATGAATTCATGAGTGACGTTTGAGCTAAAAGCGTGAAGGTGAAGAGGAGGAAGTGGCTACCTCCACCTGGAGGATCCAGGAAGGCTTCTCGGAGGAGGTGCCACATAAGCCAGATCTAGAGGGTGAACAGACCATGGTCTAGTAGGAGAGAGAAGATAAGCACACAAAAAACGAGGTCACAAAAGAAAAAGCAACATCTAATACTTGAACCCGCTTTGCGTTGACTCAGCACTTTTCTCTCATTTGAGCCTCGAGGCCACCCATGAGGGAGGGACTATTGTCCCCATTTCGTAGATGAAGATATCAAGGCTCAGAGAGGCCGTGTGTCCTAGGATTCAAATTCAGATCTTTTGCCTTCCAGCCCATAGCTCTTTCCATGGCCGAGAGAGTAGGAACGTCATAATTATACTTCTTTTTTTTTTTCTTTAAAGCACACACAGTGCTTTAGAAGTCAGAGAAATAGCGCTTAGGCCAGGAGCACTCAAGAAAGGCATCTTGAGGGTGTTGACACTGGGGCAGGCCATTGCCAGGTGGCATTCATTCAAACAAGTGTGCCAGGCACCATGCAGGGCACTGGAATGCTGTGGGGTCCAAAGCAGTGCCTGCCTGCAAGTTTCTGGCCCCAGAGGAGGACTGCGTCCGACAGCTGGGCTGGGCCAAGTGGGGGTCAGGCCTCAGCTGTCCTGGCCCGGCCACCAGCCCTGCCCTGCCCGCCCTGGCACTGAGGCCCACCTCGAAGACATTCTATGGGAGCCTCTTGACAAGGGGCTCGTTTCTACCCCTGCCAGCACTGTTGCCACAGCAGGGCGACGTTGCCACAACAGCATTCCTTGTTTGTAAGGGGTGGGAGCCAGGCCAGGCCCACCTCCCGCTGCAGGGACTCAGGTGGCATCTGTGGCTCCTGGCTTCGGGGGCTGGTTTTCCATCATCAATCACCTCCCACAGGGCCACACGTCATCCTGGGACTGGCCTCCAGAGCTCTGTCCAGGCCTCAGGAGAGACCCAGCCCCCAGGCCGGGAGGAAGATCCTGGCCCACCAGGCTTGTCAGGAGAGTCCTTCATTCAGCAATTATTGAGCACTTCCTGAATGCAGGGCCAACAACAGGGCAGGGTAGGCAAGGCCCCCGTCCGGCCATGTTAATGCTGCAGAAGCGGGCCCTGGACATGATTCTACCTGATTCCAGAATCAATCTCCTAGGCCGAGCAGCCTTAAAAATTAAAATCTAACACCAAATATGTAAAGAAAAATATAAACTTCGATAACTCTTTTATGTGGCCATCTCTAAGCCAGGCTCTGGGCTGGGCGCCTGCCCTCACTGTCTCATTTAATGCTGTTTTATGATTGGCTGCCACTTGTGATCATCAGCACAGCCCATGCCAACGAGGGCCCACTGTACAGGCAGGAGAAGCCCAGAGAGAGGGCGAGATGAGCACCGCGGTCCCTGGCGGTCCAGGTCATTCCCAGAGCTGGCCAGGCCGAGGTGTCTGGAATGTTCCGATGGGGGGGCAGGGGAGAGGGTGGGGCTGACCTTGGCCCCCAAGCCTGGGAGAGGTGGAGAGACTGGGCACGCAGATGAGGCACCACCTCCCCACAGAAGACCTAGTTGGGTTCCTTTCAGAAGAGGGTGTAGCCTGAGGTTTATGTGGTAGAGCGTGGGCAGGGCACTGTTTGGTTGCCATGGAGACAAACAGGGCAAGGAGTGGGAGAGCCAGGTCCAAGGAAGGCAACGCACTGAGGCCAGGGTGCCCTCTCTCGGCTGAGGCCTGCTGTTAACTGCAATCACCACTGGGGCAGACTGTCCATGCAACAGCCTCATGGTCGCAGAGAGGCCCAGAGAGGGGGACTGACTTGCCCGAGGTCACACAGCAATATGTGTCAAGGCCTCATAACCTTCACAGACTTTCATCTACCAGCCCTGACTCAGGCTCCAGACCTCCCGCAATGGCCTATGGACAGAGGCAAGACCATCACCTCAGAAGGGAAAGCAGGACCCAGTGTGCACAGGAGACAAGCAGCAGCATCCAGGGGCAGAGGGGACCTGCTGGGCCACCCTTAGGAATCACCTGAGTGTTTCAAGCACACCGATGCCCAGGTCCCACCTCCAGAAATTCTATTTTAATTCTGGGATGCAGCCTGGGCATGGAGAGTTTTTTGTTTTGTTTTTAATATATTTTATTGATTTTTTTACAGAGAGGAAGGGAGAGGGACAGAGAGTTAGAAACATCAATGAGAGAGAAACATCGATCAGCTGCCTCCTACACACCCCCAACTGGGGATGTACCCGCAACCAAGGTACATGCCCTTGACCGGAATCGAACCTGGGACCCTTCAGTCCGCAGGCCGACGCTCTATCTGCTGAGCCAAACCGGTCAGGGCAAGTTTTTTAATGGTTTAAATAGATAGTTTATTTTTCTTCCATAAAAGTGTCTGATGTAGACAGGGTGGGGCTGCCGTGGCAACTCGGCTCCCGGGTTACTCAGGGATCAGGCCTGGTCTTCCCTCTGCCAGACGGCAGTCATCCCGGCCACAGTCTGCCTCGGGGTGGAAGGGAGTTGACACAGAAAGGGGCGGGAGCAGCCACATGACACCTGTTTTCCTTTCTGTTGACAAGACTCAGTCGCATGGCTACACCTACCAGAAAAAGAGGCTAGGAAAGATGCTATATAGTTAGAGGCTCAGGGATCATTTCTGTCCCTTTAGAATAAGAGGAGAATGTCTGTAGGAGAATAATTAGTAGTTTCTGATGCAAATTCCCAAATTCTTATGTTTCAAATCTGGGCATGGAGATTTTTAAAGTTGCCTCTAGTGTTTCAAGAGTCAAGATAAAGAGCCGCTGCTCTGAGGGGTCGGCAGGGAGGGAGGGAGGGATGGGGGTTCCTTCCTTGGCCACCCGCCTCAGAGGAGAGAAAATCTAGGGCCTATTCCCTGGAGGTACCCCAATATGGGGAGGAGCAGCTATCCCTAGTTACAGGCCCCCTCTTCTCTGTTCTCTGCCCCCAGTAGAGGAATGCACTCGAGAGCACCTGTAATGTTCAGGGCGCTGGAGAAAAGCTTTCCACATCTTATCCCGTTTAATCAGTGTAACAACCCTTCAAGGTTGGTTGCCTCGCTTACACCCATTTCTCAGATGAGAACAACCGAGGTTCAGATCAATGAAAGTGCTGCCCAGGATCACACAAGTGAGTAAGCAGCACAACGTTGAGGTTGGAACCCAGGTCCGAGAGACTCCAAATCCTTCCCGCTCGCTCGGAACCACACGGCCCGCCGCAGCTCGATGTACTGTGTCTCCACAGGTACAAAAATGACATGCAAATCGATCCCCGCCTCTTCCCGCCTGGAAAGTACCGAATCACCAACAACTACGGGCTGCTGACCCTGGAGATTAGGAGGTGAGACAGAGCCATGAGCCCCAGGCCCCATACCCCTGAAGCAGGATTCCCAACCCTTCCTGGGAGCTGTTTCCTGAGTGCGCAGCATCTTCAGAAGTGTTTGGGGTGCTTGTTAAAACACCAATTCATGGAAGGACCCTCCTCTCACCCCCAGAGATTCAGATGAAGTAGGTGTGGAGTGGGGCCCAGGAATCAGTATGTAACACGCACCCCCGTGGGGTTCAAATGCCTTGGAATACACGAGAAACGTGGGCCAGAGGCTAGTAGCAAGGACTGAATGCTGAGCGAGGCAAGTTGGGAGAGCTCCTTGCTGGGGGAGAGAAACCACAAATCCTTACACACACACACACACACACACACACACACATGCATGCACTCACACACACACACACACACACACACATGCATGCACTCACACACACTCACACACACACGTGCATGCACTCACACACTCACACACACACACGTGCATGCACTCACACACACACACGTGCATGCACTCACACACACACGTGCATGCACTCACACACACACGTGCATGCACTCACACACACAAGTGCCTGGGGAAGCAGTTGGAAGGGAGAGTTAGGCCTTTCGGGAGATGGTGAGTCTAAAGGAAGGTTTTGCAGGAAGAGGCCACGTGGGGGGGGGAAGGCACGTAAGCAGTCCCCAAGTGTTTACTCATGGGCTGCCACGTGTTGATTCCTCCCAGCGCCAAGCCCTGTGCTCGGTGCTGCACAGTCAGGGGCAGCACCCACCACTGTTCTTGCAGGGAAGCCTGTGGCAGGTGAGGAGACAGAGGCTGCGAGAGGTCAGGGTCCTGCACAGCTTTCACAGGGCAGGCCCGGGGTTTTAGCGAGTCCCTCCATCTGGGTTCCTCCCCATACACCAAACCCTCTACTTCAACCAGCTGGGGCTTCAGAGACACGGGTGTGAGCCGGACGCTGATCCTACCCTCCGAAGCAATGGAGGGGCACACGGATCAACACCTGGCCATGCAATGCTACAGAGGGAGGTGTCCCTGGGCTGCGAAGCCAGGGAAGGCAGGCAGGCCTGGGGGTGGGGGTGGGAGGTGCTTGTAGAGGCAGGTGGGACTGGCCCTCAAAACAAGAGGGATTCCTGCCCTGAGCTGCCAGGGGGGGAGAGGGGACACCGAGGGGCCTCTCTGCTGGCTGATGGGTGCCAGATGGGCCACATCCTGCCAACTACTCTGTCACTAGGTGCCTCTGGGATGGAGCTTCGAACATGACAGGGTTGGCCTGGGTGGTGGGGAGACCTGGGCCTGAGATTGAGAACACCTGGGCATCAGGCCCAGTTCTGCCACGGGCTGGCAGCGTGTCTCGGCAAGCCTGTGCCCGGAGCCTGCTCCAGGCCTCTGATCTGCAGGTGTTGATGGGGGAGGCCATGCCTGGGAGAGGGCTTTCCGCCCTAAAGCTGGTTGAATTCCAGTTGCTGTGTGACTCTGGGCTCGGCACCCAACCTCTCTGTTCCTGCTGCGTCAGCAGTAACCATCATCGCTTCAGAGCGCTGTCACCTGAGAGGGGTTAGGTGCTGTCAGCTCCCCAGTTCCCAGAGGTGGACACGGCATGGAGCGGGCAGTGGCCAGCCCACAGGCACACGGCGTTTCAGAGGTGGAGCCGAGCCAGAGCCTGAAGTCTCCCAGCCCCAGGACTCCCCGTTAAGCCCCACCTTTCGCACCCGCAGCTGGGGACTTGAGCTTCCCAGGGAGCCCAGCAGTCTTGGGGGGCACTTCTCCCTCTCTCCCCCTCAGGTGCACCATGGAGGACACAGGCACCTACACGGTGAAGGTGAAGAACGCCCACGGCCAGGCCTCCTCCTTCGCCAAAGTCCTTGTCCGCAGTAAGTCCTCCCGCGCCCACCGGCCAGGCCGGCCCACAGCACACCCAGGATGAGCAGATGAGGACCTGAGTCTGCGGTCAGGCTCCGGGAAGGGCCCCGGCGCAGGGGTGTTCGGCCTGGGATCAGGTGACCAGGGCAGCCAAGGAGATGCTTGCTTCCCTGGGTTCTTTGGAGCAAGTGAGAGTCCCTGCACAACCTAGACAGCCGTCTCCGAAGAGCGCTTGTCCTGTCGGGCTGGGCTTGGGTCCAGGTCCAGCTCAGGGCCTCTGAGGGTGACCTGGCCCCACCTGCCCTGCTGAGAGGTCCTCAGGGGCAAAGGCCAAACCCTACCAACTCCCCCCTGACTCCACTGCCCCATTTGGCTGTGCCCAGAATCAAGCCCAAGGTCAGACTTCAGGCCCCGCCCCCTCGGCCCGCCCATCCTCCCCTCACTTCCTCCAGATCCTGCTTCCCTCTCCGTCAAGGCCAGCAACTTCGGATCCACCAGGCTTCTTCTTGGCCCCCAGACTCCAACCAGGTTCTCACTAAGACCAACCACTGCCTGCCACCCCACCCCGCCCCTGCTCTCACCTCCGTAGCATCTGTGGGGGTCCTCGAGGGAGGCCTTGGGCTAGGAGGCAGGCGCTCTATGTTCTCATCCTGAGTCTTCCACTGACTCTGTGTGACCTCGGGCAGCAGGTCCTGGACCGCTTCCCAGGGACCAATGCCACATGACAGCTTCCGGCTGGTTGGGCGATTATACCTCAGTTTGCTCATCTGTCTGAGAGGGTTATAAGGGCACCAACCCGCAGGCCTAGTGTGGAATTAAGTTAATATGCGGCACATGGTACTTACTATGTGACCAGAAGCGTCCTTACTAGTCTCCGGTGTCTATGCCAATAGCTATTTGGATTTCACCCTTAAGCCCCCTGATGGCTCCTTAGCACTGCCCATCCCCTCACCCCCCACCCCACCCCGAAACCCTGGTCTGACCAGGCTCTACCTCTATGAAGACTATGTGATCCTGGCCGAGAGTCGGGCAAGGGAAGGAAGCCATTTATTTATTTACTTATTTAAAAAGTTTTATTGATTTCAGAGAGGGAGAGAGAGAGAATCATTGACGTTGCCTCCTACTGGGGATGGAGCCCGAAACCCGGGCATGTGCCCTGACCAGGAATTGAACCGTGAGTTCCTGGTTCATAAGTGGACGCTCAACCACTCAGCCAGCCAGCTGGGCAGGAAACCCTTTATTGAGTGCCTCTGGCTGAGGGCTTTGTTCACGTGAATTCACTTGTTCAGAACCCCACCACCACCAGGTCAGAATCGCAGTCCCCATTTTACCGAGGTAGAAACTGAGGCACAGAGGGGTGAAGGAGCTGTCCCAGAGCCCAAGGGGGAGCCCCTCTGTTGAGCAGGACTCAAACCCACACCAAGGGCCATGTTGCCACAATCTAGCAGGAACGTGGGTCTGAACCGCCTCAGACTCCGCGTGCTCTGCTTTTCAGCTTACCTGGGGAAGGATGCTGGTTTCGACTCGGAGATCTTTAAAAGTAAGGAGGCTGGGGGAGGTTCGAGCCTTGGGGGGGAGGGGGTTTGGGACTTCTCGTCAGGCCGCCCACAGCCCCCCTTTAGAATACAGCCGTCCATTGCCCACTAAGGAACGTCCCCATGGGTTTGCCTCTGAGCTGTTAACATTTGCAGGCTGGTTTCTGGGGGTCCCAAGGCAGCTGCTGAGTTGCCCAGTGGCCAAAATGGAGCAAAGGGCAAAGGCAAAAAGACAAATGGACGTGACCTTTGGGCAGTTGCTCTTTCGGCTCATCTGGTCCCACCTAGATCATCTCTCCCCCACCCCAGGACCAGGCCCCCCTCCTCGTTAAAAGCACCTCAAGAACTGTGACTAGAGAGTGGGGACACCCCAGAAGGGTCCTTGCTCCCACCCAAGCCCCAGGCCGGGCTGGCGGCCTCAGGAGACTTCTGTCCTCAATGTCTGGCCCCACCCAGGACTGACGTTCGGCCCCAACGTGGACTTCACCTCGGTGCTGAAACCGGTCTTCGCCCGCGAGAAGGAACCCTTCTCCCTGACCTGCTCATTTTCAGAAGACGTATTAGACTCGGAGCAGAACATTCAGTGGTTCCGAGACGGTAGGACCCCCGTCCCGGGCCCCAGCCTTCGGAGGCAGACGTGGAAGGGGGACTGCAGCCCTGGTTCCATGGCCAACCCTGGGCCCCGAGCATCCGTGTGGCAGGGGGAGGCCCAGGCGTTCAGGGGCCCTCGGCCGGGGAGGAGGGAGGAAGCCACTGCCCGCGGAGAGCCCGCCATGGTCAGGCCCTGGCTCAGCCCTAAGAGTGAGAGATGGCACCCACAGCCCCGGGAAAAGAGGCCAAGGCCAGGGGGCAGGAGGGCACGAGGGGGCTCAGGGCAGCTTGTGACAGTCGTGCAGGGCTTTGCAGAGTCCGGGGGTGGGTGCTGGTGAATAAACACCACCCAGGAGCTGGAAGACCCGGGTGGCACAGGCAAGGCTGCAGAAGGCTGGTCAGATATGGCAGAGAGGTGTCTGGCCTGGGAGGAGGACGGCTGGACCTCCTCCCCACTTGTGACTAGGCCCACAGCCAAAGGACAAGGAATACAGCCGCCCCCACCCCACCCCAGCAGGGCAGCTCTGAGCCGGGCAGGCAGCACCTGCCAGGACAGGGGGGGCGGAGGAGGGGAGGGGCCACAGGGAGCCCCGAGGAACAGCTGCAATAACCAGTGTAGATGTTTTCCCAGCCCGTGGGTCCCCCAGAATAGAGGTGCCGACAGGAGGGAGGGGCCTGGGAGTGGGATAAAGAGCAGGACGGCCCAACAGCGTGGCCTTGGGGCAGGGCCCACGCCCTGAGTCCCAGAGCCCCTTCCTCAGTCCCCATTCCTCTCCCTAAGGTCCCACCCACTGAGTCCCCATTCTCCTCGATGACCCCTACCCTCCAGTGAGCCCTCTACCCTCCTCACTGCCACCCCAGCTCTCTCAATGAGCCCCACCTCTTTTCTGAACCCCCCTCAACAAGCCCTCACTCCCTTCATTCAGTCACTATCCCCCCTCACTGAGCTCCCACCCCTTCCTAGAGCCCCAGCCCCTCCAGTGGGTCCCCGGTCCCCTCACAGAGCCCCTGACCCTCACACAGGCCCCATCTCTTGTTTTCCCTTTCCCACAGAGCCTCCAACTGCTCACTGAGCCACCCACCCAGCCGTTTCCCTAAATCCTCATTCCCCTGGTGGAGGTCCCAAACCCCTTCCCTGGGCCCTGCCCCACCCCCAAGCCTTCTGGAGAGCTCAGTGGCCACCTTAGCAAAGCCCTGGAGGCCACCTCCCCCTCCCTGACTCCCCAGTTGAGCCTCAGGCTATCACCACGCCAGCCCCACCTCTGCCTGGACCCCCCCCCCCCCGCCCCCCACAGGGCATCTGCAGGTTCCCAGGTGAGGCCGCGATCCCCCATGAGCTCACACGGGACCCCTCTCCTCATCAGGGAGGCGGATGAGGTCCTCAGGACGCCGGCAGACCCTCTATGCAGACCGCCAGGCGTCCCTGCAGGTGTCCTGCGCCTACAAGGAGGACGAGGGGCTCTACACAATCCAGGTGCCTTCGCCCCTGGGGCCCCGGGAGCAGAGCACCTACGTGTTTGTGAGAGGTGAGTGGGGGCGGGGCAGAGGGACCGCTGAAGCCCAGAGACCAATTGTCCACATGGAGGTGTAGAGTGGCCCCCAGTAGTCCCCCCACCCAGATGCTGTGGTTTGAGAGGAGGACGCTATTATTCGGGTCCTGGTCTTCAAGATCAGCTCTGAGCCCCTGGACGGGGAATGGAAGAGGATGTTGGGCGGGCATGGGAGGGAGCCGCTGCCCAGTGGACATGGACTGGAAGAGCCTCCCCCTCCCCTCTCTCCCCATCCGCCCTCTCACCCCACCCGTGTTTCAGATGCTGCAGCAGAGAACATGGGGGCCCCGGGCTCCCCCCTGAACGTCCTATGCCTGGATGTGAACAGAGACTGCCTCATCCTGACCTGGACCCCGCCCAGTGACACTCGGGGCAGCCCCATCACCGGCTACTCCATTGAGCAGTGAGTCAGCCGCCTGAGTGGAGAGTCCCTGGCGGGGAGGGTCGCCCTCTGCCTGGTGGTGAGGACAAGAATGGGGCCACAGGAGAGGGAGCCCCATGCCTAGTCTCCGAATAGGGCAGAAGGTCGACTGTGCTGCTCACTTTAGGGGCAATAAAAGGGTGTTCAGTGAAACTCCACCCTGGAGTCAGCCGCTGGCCTCTGGATTGTTTACAGTAAGGGGGTGGGGGTGAGGAAAGTGGGGGAGGGGGGGTACATTAAGTGCCTGAAACCCGACACATGTGCCCTTGTTGACTGTTTCCCTTCCTGAGTGACAGACAGAGTGGCTGTGACCCCAGAGGGAGGGGCACACCAGGCAGGGGAGGCCCCGGGACACCTGCCTCCTTAGCGCCACCAGCTCTGAGGCCCAAGCCTGACACAACACGCAGTCCTGTCACTGACGGGCTCGAGAACCGTGTACCTGGGGCTTCGCACCTGATCACTGCGTCCTTCCAACCTCCCCATCTAAGGGGCAGGGGGCTCCTGGGTGCCCCGGTCTACAGATAAGGAAACAGATACATGGGGCGATGACATTGCCCGAAGTCACATTGCTCATTAGCGTGGAGTCAGGTGACCACTGCCCCATCCCACCCATAATGTTGCTGTGAAATGGCCTGAGGGCACGGTGCCCAGCTCTGAGGGTCAATCTGGACCACACGCGACTTCGGGCACGGACAGCCCTCGGGTGAAAGCCTAACTCCGCCACTCACGCGCTGTGGGCCTTGGGCAAGTCCTCTCCCTCTCTGAGCTGTGCATCCCTGGCTGTAGAGCGACAGTCATCACACCTGACTCTCGGACTGTTGGGATTCAATGAGCTGATGGGTGTGGAGGGCACAGCACGGCTCAGGCACCTGGGGCAGCTCCATGAACGGCATGGAAAGTTCCATCACGGGAGGTGAAGGATGACCCCCACCTCCTGGGGGCCCGAGGTTGGAGCCAGGCGTTTGAATGGGGAGCAGGACTTAAATTCGCAGGCAGCCTCGGACAGGGAGATGGCCCTGGTAGAGGCTCACACAGGGAAGGCGTGAGTCACAGGCAGGGGCTGAAGCTGGCGTCTCCCCGACAGGTGCCAGGGCGAGTCTGGGCAATGGGTGCCCTGCCATGAGGCCCCCGGCGGGACCTGTCGGTGCCCAATCCAAGGTCTCCTCAAAGGCCAGAGCTATCGGTTCCGGGTGAGAGCCGTCAGCAAGGCGGGCAGCAGCCTCCCCTCCAAGGCCTCAGAACCGGTTGTCATGGGCGACCCCGACGAAGCTCAGAGGAAGACAGGTGGGTGACTGACTCACCCAGGAAAATGCATAGCCCATTCCAAACCCTATTCCAAGGGCGAGCCCAGCCCAGCCCTCAGGGACTCTAATCCAATGGAGGAGACAGGGCCTCAAGAGCCTCTAGTCGGTTGGAAGAAACACAGTGTGTCCTTAGGAACCCCCGGCCTGAGGGGAGGGCACAGGTGGTCTGATGGAGGAAGCACAAACCCGTCCACAGGAGATGCTAAGCTGGGGGAGGACCACAGCACCGCTACAGATGCTCTCGATCTGAAGGAGGAAACAGCCCTGCCTCGGGGCCCCGGGGGAAGGGAGGGGACACAGAAGGTCTCTGACCCCAGGCACATCACGCCTCCTCTCGGTCCTCGTTTTCCTGAGAGGACAGAGCATCCCTTAAGCTCTAGAGCAGCAGTGCTCCACTTTGGACCCCTGGGAATACTGGGGCCCAGAGAGGACCTCCCTGAGGTCACACAATGAAAGGCCATGGCCAGGAACAGGGGGAGGAATCGGCACCCCTGAGCAGGGCAGGTCCTGCCCAGACCCTCCTGACCCAGCCCCCACATACCCTGCACCCCTACTTCTCCCCCAACTTGCTCCATTCTCCATCCTAGAGATCCCCTTTGACCTGGGGAACAAGATCGTGATCAGCACAGATGATTTGGAAGGTACGTGGGAACCTCCTGATCCTTTGCCTCAAGACTCCAGCCCCCTTTATGGTTCTGGAAACTGGTCCATGAACCGGCAGAGAGACGGAAGCTGTCCCTGGAGGGTGGGGGGTGTGAGGGAGGGTTTTAGTTGGAAGAGCCAGAGTTCTCAGGTGAGGGTGGCCCGTCTGGCTGTGCCCCTCATGGACGGGGTGGAGAGTCCTAGGCAGGACATCGGGAAGCCCACCTTCTGGCCCCAGCTCTGCCGGCCTTGCTGGGTGACCAGGAGCAAGTTCCTGCCCCTTTCTGGGCCCCAGTTTCCTCCTCTACGAAATGAGGGGCTGAGTTTAGGGGTCTCTAAGGGCCCACTCATCTCTGCCCTGGATGACTCTGATTCTAGGCTTTGTGACCATTCCCTCGCCTCCAACCAATGTCCATGCCAGCGAGATCCGTGAGGCCTACGCGGTCCTGGGCTGGGAGGAGCCGAGACCCCGGGGCAGAGCTCCGCTGACATACTCCCTGGAGAAGGTAGGAGACCCCAAGACCTGAGAAATAGACTTGCTGTGGGAGCAGGTTGTGGGGAGTCAGGGAAGTGCCGAGAGCCCCTGGAAGGCCGTGTCCCCTGGGGAGGCCTTCAGAGCAGGGAATAGCGGTCCCTGAGCTGGCCCTTCACAGGAGCAGGCAGGCAAAGGGCCCTTTGGGGTTTCCTCCAGCCCTAGAGGCAGTTTCTGATGGCGGTGCCTGAGGCTATTCATAGAAACACTCAAAATTAAGAGACACAGACAATACAACAGTAAGATCCCCGCCCCCAGTCTGGCTGGCATCGGGCCATGCATCAGGCCACACAACTCCTCTTGGCCAGAGCCATGACGGGAGGGAAGCCAGGCAGCCCGCGCCAGCCGGGGTCATGGCGGCGGCACTCACAGGGCACGGGGCGGGGGTGTAGAGGAGGCCGTTCTCACCGGGGCAGGGTGGGAGCAGGTGTCTGGGAGGGGGCAGCTTTGTGGAGTGGATGTCACAGTGGAGAAGGACAGTGTGGCGACAGATCATTCCAATCTGATTTGTGCTGCGTGAGCCCGTTTCCTAACTTCTCTGAACCTCATTTCCTAAGGCATAGACTGACATCCTCCCCCGTGAGGGTGAAATAAGACGCAGCACTCAGCCCAGGCCAGCAGCCATGGGCCTGTGAACACTTCCCGAGGAGATGTTCTAGAGTCTAGAGACCCTGGCGCATAGTAGGCGGACAGTACAGGATTAGTGGATCAATGAGTAAAAGGTTCCAGCGAGGCGTCTCTGCCTCTGGTTGCCCAAATGGGCCTCTCTTCACACACTCACGGGTGATCTATTTCTCCGACATAGGAAAGCTATTCCAAGAACTGAGGATTTGTTTTGCGAGGCTGTGGAGTCTGTCCAATGCAGCGGTTCTTAACCTGTGGGTTGCGACCCCTTTGGGGGTCGAACGACCCTTTACAGGGGTCGCCTAAGACCATCGGAAAACACATATATAATTACATATTGTTTTTGTGACTAATCACTATGCTTTAATTATGTTCAATTTGTAACAATGAAATTGGGGGTCCCCACAACATGAGGAACTGTATTAAAGGGTCACGGCATTAGGAAGGTTGAGAACCACTGGTGGTTAGACCATGGAGTCAGACTGCCTGGGTTCAAATCCTATCTCTGCTACTTACCTAGTTGTGTGACCTTGGGCAGGTTATTTAGTCTCCCTGTGCCTCAGTTTCTCTCCTATATAATAGAGATAATCATTGTACACACTTTATAGGGTCAATATGAGGATCAAGTTAATTAAAGCCTGTAAGCCTTAAAACAGAATACGGCGCACCAGTGTTCAGAAACGTTCACTGGTTTTCTGGCGATTTCTTGCCTCACTGGGCTCTAGGACACCAGCAACTGGGTGGGCCTTGGGGTGGAGGTGGTGGGGGAGCACAAGGAAGGCAGGGTCAGGGGTCCCCTGGTGCTTCTCAGCTTTAAGTCTCATACCCAGACTCAGCAGAGTGGCCTCTGGGTGCCTCACCAGCCTGCATCCCCCTCAGCTCTTCACCCTCTATCTGCCCAGAGACGCAGAATTTATGGCTGCCTTTGGGGTCCCTGGCACTGTGGAGAGTGAGCAGGTTTGGGGGCGCTCACGCCTGAGCTTAAATACTAAATACACAAGCTATTAGATGCATGACTTTCTCCCCAGTTACCAAAACTCCCTGAACCTGTGTTTCCCATCAGCGGGGAAATTAACACCTACCATCCATTTATTCATTTAGTATTTATCCCACAAACATAGATGGAGCACTTCCCATGTGCCGGTACTGTCATTGGCCCCAGGTACAGACAAAACCCTGCCTCTGAAGCTGGCATTCAAGTAGGGAGTGGAGACGCATGATAAACAAGACAGATGAGTAACATATTTAGCACATTAGCTAGTGGTAGCCCTGAGGAGGAAGACATAAGGCAGGGGGGGGGGGGGGCTGCTGACATAGGTGGAAGGGCTGGGGAGTCCTCCCCAGGACGGTGAGTGCTGAATAAAGGCCTAAAGGAGATGAGGAGCCAGCCAAGAGATTTCTGAGGGAAGAACATTGGGGGGCAGCGGGGGGGGGGGGGGGGGAGAGGAGGGGGCGTGTAGAGACCAGCAAGTGCAAAGGCCCCGAGGCAGGGGTTGGGCCTGGCACAATCAAGGAGCAGCAGGGGGCACAGAGCCATGGTGGGTGGACGAAGGGAGCATGACATGCGGCCAGACAGGTGGCCAGGGCCAGACCCTAGAGAAGCTTTCGCTCTAAGAGAGATGTGGGGCTGGGGAGGGTTCTGAGCAGATCAGCACACCACCTGACACATGTTGTAAAAGAAGCCCTCAGACCATCATTTGGAGAGAAAAAGGCTGAAGGGAATTAAAGGTATAAACAGGCAGACCAGCTAGGAGGCCATTAAAATAACTCAGATCTGAGAGACAATGGTGGCTTGGATCAAGGTTGTGGCAGGGGACCTGCGGGTGGTAAGTCATAGTTGGAGTCTGGATACATTTTGAAGGTAGAGCCGACTGCATTTGGGGATGGAGCATATTTGGGGGGTGCGGGAAAGAGGGCAGGAGTCCTGGACCGCTCCAAAGGTTTGGGCCTGAGCAAAACCTAACTCATGTGGGCAGCTTCGGTTTGGGGCACGCCCCAGGGTCGAGTTCTGGACATGTTGCAGGTGAGATGCTCAGTGGGCATCCAGGTAGAGATGGCGAGGAGGCAGGTGGATCCAGAGCTCAGCGTTCAGGGGCAGCCTTGGCCGGGACGAACGTTAGTGAGAGCATGTGTGGGAAGTGGGCAGCACAGAGCAGCTCCGGCAACTGCTTAACCAACGCGAGTTTCTCTCCTTTGTCAGTCGGTCATAGGTAGTGGCACCTGGGAGGCCATCAGCACAGAAACTCCTGTGAAATCCCCGAGATTCGCACTGTTGGACCTGGAGAAAGGGAAGTCGTATGTCTTCAGGGTGCGAGCGATGAACCAGTATGGCATAAGCGACCCCTCGGAGCCCAGCGAGCCCATCGCCTTGCAGGGAAAGCCAGGTACCTGTGTGGTGCAGAGGATGGGTGGGGGCGGGGCAGGCTGGGCCCGGGCATTGGGCTGTCAGCATTCAGGGCTGTGACCCCAGGCCACAGGGCCAGGGCCAGGCCCATTTCCCTGTCTCTGACCGCCTCTGCCTCCACGGAGCTGAAAAGCAGCATGACCTCAGCCTGGGAAATGTCAGGACATCAGCAATCACATTTCTCTGGGCAGAGGGCTCATGGACATACAGGCTTTTCTTTCCAAACCACAGTTCACAGTTTGCAGCATCCAGCTGGGTCCAGCACAGGTGCTGAGTGTGACCAAGTGGGCCCTTAGTTCTAAAGGTCTCCAACCAGCACCCACTCCTGCCTCCTGAGCAGGCCTCCTGGTGGGGGCTCAGCTGTCCCACTCGAGCCCTGGCTCACCTGCTAGGGAGCTCTCATCTTCAGCACGGCATGCGCCTGGGCACGTCATCTCAGAGCTACAGACCTGGTGTCCTCACCTGCCAAATGAGTGTACATCTATAATAATAAAAGCATAATATGCTAATTAGGCCAGACATCCTTCCAGGCGTCCTTCCAGACAACCTTCTGGATGAAGCTGGGACTGCAAGGGAAGCCCAGGTCCCGGATCCTGGGTGCCGGAGGGAAGCCGGTGCCAGCAGCCAGGGGAAGGAAAGCCTACTCTTGCATGAATTTCATGCATCAGGCCTCTAATATTTACAATAAATGTGAATGGGTTGGTGGGCCAGTAGAGTTTTTCTTTCATTCTGGTCCAGCGAAGGTTTAGGCCTGATTTGGGCCCTGGCCAGTGAGTGGCCAGAGAGACAGTGTGGGCTGTCTCTGGACCACTAGCCAGAGGGCAAGGTTCCAGCACAGTTCAAAAAAAGGAAGGGAAAGGAAAAGGTGGGGGAGGAGAGAAGGAAAAAGAAAAGCTATTGACTTGTATTCCAGACGTAAAATTATGTTAAAATGGGAAAGTACCCCCCAAAAGCAAAAGAGTGAGAAAGGAAGGAAGGGAAAGAGGAATAAATTGAGAAACTGATAAACAGAAAGAAAAGAGTACTCCCCCACCATGATTCCACTGCCCAGTATCTGGATGCCTGGGTTTCTGGCCCTCTGACCACACACAAATCAATGCATCTTTTTCAAAGTCTGATCAAACCATAGTAGAGTTTTGCATTCTGCTTTTTAAAGTAAACATTATGTTGCAAACATTTCCTCGGGTCATGAAATCCTCCTTGAGGTCCTGATTTTAATGTCTGAGGACTACTCGATGCCATGGAACCCTCGGCTCAAGGATAGAATCAGGTCTCTTGTGCACATGAGGCCCCTGAGTGGCCTCCTTCCAGCCTCTCCCCTCCATCCAGTCTTTATCCGCTGCCACACTGTCTTCAGCCCGAGAGGCTGAAGTTGTTGACAGGACCTTCCTGTGCCCAGGACCTCAAGCCCATCTCTCAGTACATCCCCTGTGCCAAGTGCAGAGCCTGGCTCAGCATAGGCACATGCTGAAAACTGGATTTATGTTGGATGGATGCTGAGTTCAGCCTTTTCCTGTTGACTTTGTGGCACCACCAGAACACAAGGGAAAGTGTCCGGGGAGAATGGAAGATGAGCTCTAGAACTCAGGGGAGAGGGCAGGGCTGGAGTTAAAGCCTGGGGAGTCACCTGCAGAGAGGTGAGGGTTGAAGGCATAGGAATAGATGAGAGGAGAGAAGAAAAATAGAGCAAGTCAAGGAACAGAAGTTGGAGGAGTCCCACATTTGGGGAGAAAAAAGATGGGGATCCCCAAAAGATATATAAGGAGTTTGAGAAGTAGAAAGAGAAGGAAGCTCCTGCACCAGCCATATTCACTCATCCGTTCACCTATGCATTCATCCATCCATTTGTCTATTCATCCATCCCCTATCCATCCATCCATCCATTTTTCCATCCATCCACCCTTCCATTTGTTCATCTGTTCATCTATCCATCTATCCATCCATCCATCCATCTGTCCATTTAACAAATCAGGGCAGTCCGTACTTCAAGGAGCATAGTCTCAGGGAGCCATGAAAGTCAATAGAGAAATTTCAAGGAAAGAAAGTCAAGTTTTCTAGCAATTGAAGATAAACACTGAGGAAAACTGCAGACCTGGTGACTTCTAAGTGAGGAAGATTGTAAGGATTGTTGGCTGGAGCCCTAGTGAGGAAGTGGAGATGTTTGGAGGTAAGAAGAAAGAGGACTTTGGGAATACATGAGTCTGGGGCACGCCTCTGGGACAAGGAAAGAGCTGCCCAGAGCCCTGGGGCACATTGGAACCCACAGTCCACCACTCCCCGTCGTGTTAGTACCATGTAACTCAGCATCCTTACTCAGTCCATGTTTCTGTCTTTAGCGACCCTGCCTCCTCCAGCTCAAGTTCAAGCTCTCCGTGACACGCAGACCTCTGTCTCCCTGACCTGGGATCCCGTGAAAGAAAGCCCAGAGCTCCTGGGGTATTACATCTACTCCCGGGAGGCAGGATCGTCCGAGTGGCAAACAGTTAACAACAAACCCATCCAGGGCGACAAGTGAGTTTGCCACACCCCTTCCTGCACCAGGGCGCCCTCCAAGGAGGCGCCATAAGGACAATGAAGCCCATTTCACAACACGGTACTGGGTGCTGGGCACTGTTCTGAGCTCTTTTCAGATATTAGGTCATTTAGTCCTAACTGCAGTCCTATAATCCTAGGACTATTATCTTTATTATCACTGGACAGGTGAAGAGACTGAGGCACCGGCTGGTCCAGTGACTTGCCAGAATTCCCTTATCTGGCAAATGGAGGAACTAGGCCTTGACCCAGATGGCCTCTTCTTCAGCAAACACACGAGGAAGGCTTCCTCTTTGCAGACAGAGGTGACTCATTAGGTCTCATCCTTCCAGGAGCTTAGAGGTACAGAGAGCAGAGGGTGCAGGGCAGCCAGTGGCTCCAGGACCAGGGAGGCCTGGGTTCAGACCCCATCCCTCACTTGCCTGGTCAGGGACTGGTCCTCTCTCAGCCTCAGCTCAGACTCAGTCCTCTTGCCTTTCCAGCTCCCACTCCCCTCCGAGGCCCCGCCTCTCTCGGAGGCTGGTCCTGCAGGCTCCGTGAGCCTTGAGGCTTCTGGGCTCATGCCTTTGCTCAGTTTAGAGGCTCTGTGGGGTACGGGCTCAGGTGGTGACCTGGGCAGGCCCTGAGCACCCCTGGCTGTGCTCCTCTCACCTGGGCCCCAGACCCCGAGATCATCTTACCCTGAAAAAGCGACAGGAGCTTGACCCTCTGGTCTCCGGCACCTCCCAGTCCGCTGCGGGGGCCACTCATGATTGGTTACTGCTGAAGTTCCAAATTGGAGGAAAACTGGATGTTTGACAAATTAGCTCTGGGTCCAAGTTATTCCTAGAATAGCACCTCTCCCCCCACTTGCATTGAGTGTATTTTCCTGAGGAGGGACAGGGGCTGAAGGGGAGTCATGTAAAGGGTGTGACATGCCTGGGGGATGTGTCACACATGGGAGGGGAGGGTGGCATGCTCCTCTGGTAAGTCCAGGAGCTCATCACACATGAGCATGTCATAGGTTACATGTTTCATGGCTGGAAAGAGGCTGGATGTGCTGCCCAGGAGAGCTGCCTGGGTGACAGCATGAAGGCAGCTCCATGGGGTGTGATGGTCAGTTCAGTGCCATGTTGCTGGGCCCCACAGAACCTGGCTCATAGGAGGTGCTCAAAATTATCTGAATGAATGAATGGACCTAATGGTGCTGTGCTGGGACTCAGCTGTGTTCCCAATCGGCTGTGTGCCCTTGGCACACCTCTTTCCTTCTGGGGGGGGGCTTTTCCAACCTATAAAGTGAAGGAACTGGACAGTGTGATCCATAAGGTCCCCTCCAGCTTTCAACTTCATCCTCATCTTCAACAGGGATAAGTAACAGAGGGCATTCGGACAAGTGCCTTGAGTTTACACAGACCCGGCAGAAACTGGGTGCTAGACAAGCATGCATTATTGTCACTGTTGTCATTCATTGTCAGCAGGGGCTGGTCCAGAGTCACCCCAGCCTCACCTGCTCAAGCTGCCTGCCCATCATCCCTGCAGCGTTTCATTCTCTCATAAAGGCATATTGCCCGTTAGAGGTGGGTGTCCCTGCGCAGGGAACTTGATGCTGTATCGACCATCAACCTTGATTTAAGTCCTTGGGGCTCCTCGAGGTCAAACTCCCTGTAGAACAAGATTTGCTAGAGGGAAATGTTGATAAATGGAAAGGGATAAAGAAATCCACTATTTGGGTTTTATTAAGAAAGGACAGCATAAGAAGGACATTTTTCTCCAACCCCAAGTGAACCTGTATGTTTCTGGACGACAGTTCTCTCTGGGGGTCTTTAAAGGGACTCCGTGTTTTAGAATCTCAGCATGCGTGCAGATAATAAAAGCCACTTGTGTTTCAAGGACAAAGTCCCAGAGATGTACCAGGGAGCACGGTTCAGCGGTTAGCTACCTGGGCCTCCAACAGTACCCTCCCCAGCACATTCACATTTTAGCCGTGGGCTCTAAGAGTGTTTTATTGAGTAATAATTGACATGCATCACTGTATAATGTGTACAACATGATGGTGTAAGTTACAGACACTGTGAAATGATGACCATGATAGGTTTAGTTAGCATCCGTTATCTCATACAGATACAAGGAAAAAAAATTATCCTTGTGATGAGAGCTCTCATAATAACTTTCCCATATAGCAACCAGGAGAGGTAACGATAGTTATCAGGTTGGACATTACTTCCCTGGTACTTACTGATCTTATAACTGGGAGTTTGTACCTTTTATTTAAAGATAATTTTATTGTTTTCAGAGAGGAAGGGAGAGGGAGAGAGAGAAAGAAACATCAGTGATGAGAGAGAATCATTGATCGGTCGCCTCCCGCCTGCCCCACACTGAGGATCAAGCCTGCAACCTGGGCATGTGCCCTGACCGGGAATCAAACCATGACTTCCAGGTTCGTAGGTCGATGCTCAACCACTGAGCAACCGGTTGGGCTGGAAGTGCATCCCTTTGACCACCTTCCTCCAACCGTTAATTAAGGACTTCACCCTGCAGGTGTGCGCATCACTTTGGGGGTAAGGGCAGTACCTCTAGGTAAGACCCTGGAATCCTGCCACACGGGCTACCACTCATCCCACAAGGTTGTTCTGAAAAGTTTGGGGATGTCTGCGAGCTGGAGGCCATCCCTGAGCGGCGCACATTTCTTTCCCAGGTTCACAGTTCCTGGGCTAAAGACGGGGAAGGAATATGAGTTTTGCGTCAGATCAGTGAGCGAGGCTGGAGTAGGAGAGAGCTCAGCGGCCACCGAACCCATCAGGGTCAAGCAGGCTCTGGGTAAGTCCTCGGGGCAGCTCGGGGCCGGGCAGGGAGCAGGGCTGACACACCACATCTTGGAGGGTCCATCCCAGAGGCCAGTGGGGACCAACCCCCGAGGGGAGCGGGAGTGTCCCCTCCCTGACCACCCTTTCCTTTGGGAAGGAAGCACCTGTGGTCTGAGGCCATGCAGTGATGCCTGACCAGGTGCCCTCCCAGGGGCAAAGTCAAGGTTACTAGCGGGCACCTCTGGCTAAGTTGGTACCCCCAGAGCAGGGTGGGCGCCCACTGGAGAGGCTTGGTGACTGCCCCTGGCCTCCCCTCCTGCCTCCCCGTAGCTACGCCGTCTGCCCCCTATGATTTCATCCTCCTGAACTGTGGGAAAAATGATATGGTCATTGGGTGGAAGCCCCCCAAGCGTCGTGGAGGTTGCAAGATCCTGGGCTACTTCCTGGACCAGCACGACTCGGAGGAGCTGGACTGGCACCCGGTCAACCAGCAGCCGGTCCCCACCCAGGTCTGCAAGGTAAGGCTGGAGTGTGGCCGCCCGCCTGGCGTCCCGGCTTGTGCGGGTGAGTCACTGGTGGAGGTCCTGAGGCTGAGAGGGGCCTCGGGTTCCCTGGCCTCCACGTGCAGACCCACGTGGCCAATCTTGTTAAAGCCCCAAGGACTCCCTGCTCTGAACCTCTCCCCACGTTCCTGCTGCTCCTCTGCTCCTCCCCCCCACCGCCCAGGCCCCAGCTTCGGCTTTCAGTCTGTGTTTCTGCTCTTCAAGGTCAGCAACCTTTGCGAAGGCCACTTCTATGAGTTCCGTGCCCGGGCCGCAAACTTGGCAGGTGTCGGCGAGCTGTCGGCGCCCAGCAGCTTGTTTGAGTGCAAAGAGTGGACGATGCCCCAGCCAGGTGAGAGGGCACCCCTCCTCCCCAAATCCAACCAATGCGAGGACTGCTGCCGAGCTCTCTGGGCATCCATGTTCCCGCTGTGGGTTCCAGACACCAGACCCCTGGCCCTTCCACCAACACACCCTGTAATCGCTCACACAGACAGTCTTCACCCTGCCTTGCAGGACCCCTGACCTTGACCGTCAGCTGGCCCTGTACCCCAGCACAAACTGTCCTCTAGCTCAGCACATCCTCAGCCTCTGGTTCCCGCCACAGACTAGTCTCAAAGGCACTCTGCTAGGGTGACTGACTCGTCCCAGTTTGCCCAGTTTGGTTTTACCGCTGAAAGTCCTGGACCAACAAGGAGGCCTGGTCACCTGCACACCACTCCCCAGCCCTGTTAGTTTCCTCACAAATGAGCCCCTCACCTCCCCCCAGGAAGGAAGGATCACGACCCTCCATCATTCTGTGCAGCTCAGTTCTGTTTTCTACACAAAACCTTTACCTGAATGGCAGGTAATTACTATGTGTGATGCTTTAGTCAACAATAATGATAAACAACTAATAGTTACTGGGTATTTACTATGTACTTACACGTTCCATAAATTATGTCATTAATGCTCACAACAGCACTACATTGTAAGAACTATTATTATCCCCATTTTACAGATGAGAAAACAGGAACATCGAGGCTAAGTAACTTGCCTAGAGTCTCCACAGCTGTAAGGGTAGAGCTGGGCCATGAGCCCTGGTGATCTGACTCGGGAGGCCACACCCGTGGCCCTTCCACTAAACACGGAAACGGCAAAGACATTAGAAGGATTCATGCTGACTGGCACGGGGATGGGAGGCTCTAGCCCTACTTCAGGCCCAGGACAAGCTTTGTCATGAAGCCACGGCCAGCCAGGTCCCCACCATGCCCAGAACAGGGGCTTCCAGGCTTGGTTGTGACTGACAGATTGACAAGCTTGCTCAGTACCTGGCTATCTGGCTGGCCATTGGGCTGTCTGGCTGGTTGCCTGGCCGCCCAACTCCTTCTCTACCCCGTCTCCCACAGGTCCCCCGTATGACGTGCGAGCATTCGAGGTGCGGGCCACCTCCCTGATGCTGCAGTGGGAGCCCCCGCTATACACGGGGGCCGGGCCAGTCACAGGCTACCTCATCAGCTTCCAGGAGGAAGGCTCTGAGCAGTGGAAGCCACTCACCCCAGACCCCATCTCTGGCACCCACCTGAGGGTGAGTCCCTGCCCCTTCATCCGCTGGCCCACCTGAGCCTTCCCTGCCACTGGACAAGGCAGGACTACAGAGCGTCAGAGCTGGAAGGACCCTCAGGGAGTACTGTCCTCACTTAATGGCAGCAGAGGACCAGAGAGGGGGAGTGACTGACACAGGGTCACACAGGAATTGGTAGTAGGTTAGCTGGCTGGCTGGTAGACAAGCTGCTCCACTCTGAGCAGACTCCTCCCTAAAAATGCACTTATAATCGGTGAGGCGTGTCAGCATGTGGACATGTTCATCCCTGGAACCAGGAATTCTGCTTCAAGGGCTGAAGTGTCAAGAAATAATTAAGCAAGTGTGCAAAGATCTGAGGATGACGATGCTCACTGTTGCATAGTTTATAAAGGCAAAGGTTGGAAACAACTTAGCTGTCCATCAAGGGGTTTGCATAAATAAGTCAGAGTTCATCTTTAAGTGGAATCCTGTGCAGGGAGCATGAAGACTAGGTGGTTCAAGGAGTGGCGATAGGACAAAGAATGAGGTAGACATACATGTGCGTGTTGACATGAAAATATAGCCATCATATGTGGCTAAGGAAGAAAAGCAGAATTCAGAGTAGGACATACATACATTAAGTACCATCTGTATATCATAGTACACATATTACATATTAACAAACAGATATGCAGATGTATGTTTTTTCATTTGAATGAGGAACAAAAACTCTTTGGATAAACAAGAACTCTGGCAGAATCACTGGCTGTATTCAACTGTGGTGGTTGTAGGAGAAAGGAAAGCACTAACAATCCCCCAGCATAACAAAGACACCTTTACAAGCCAGAAAACTCAGGTGTCCATGGAAGCATTCTTCACAGACACAAGTGGGCGACTTAGACAATCAATGAGAAGCACAGACTCCAGGCCCCTGGGTCACAGCCTCCAGCTCTGAAGCTGCAGGTCTCACAGGCCTCCCTTGTTTAAGGCACAGTTCTGGGATGTGGATTAGGTTTTTTTTCTGGGTCTCGGGAAAGAGGAGTATTTTCTCCAACTCACTTTCCTGAAGGTATCTTTCACCAGCAGGAAGGAGGGTAGGGATTTCTAGTCCACACATAAGCATTCGGTTCGTTAGCACCAGGCGGAAAGACAGGCTGAAGGAGCCAACACAGAGTGGAAAGAATAAGACACTAAAAAAAACCAATACGGCGCATGTCATGTTTCTACACGAATGGTGTGCATTTAAAGGCTAAATGGATCATTACAAAACTGTTGATTCTGGTTGTCTCTGGGGATGGGACCGCTGGGAGAGTTTTAATCCTTCCTTTTATATTCTCAATTGCTTTAATATTTTCCCTAACAAATGTGTTTCTTTTGTAACCAGAAAAAAAAAATACTTTCATTTGAAAAAATAACATTAAGGCCATCTAAGACAGAGTCAGGGGGGACAAGCCCGGCCTGGGGAAGGCTCTGAGACTGCAGTCGCCGCCTCCAGGGGGCCAGCTCCCTGTGTAGAGTCAACCAGTGCTAGACAGCTGGCCCGAGAGCCACTCGAAATGGATGGTCTCTCTGCGTACCCCACCCCCCCATAAGTTGGCCCAGGACAGAGTGGGCAGGCCTCAGTGACTTGGCACCATTTCTTCATTCACTAAATACTTCTTGACACCTACTTAGTGTCTGGAAGCAGGTCCTACATGGAGCCATCCTTGGGTGACAGGCAATTACAATACCGTGTATTGTACAACGGAGGGGTGTCTGAGGGATTCTGGGATCTGGGAGGTCAAGGATGAGCTGGGAAAGGGGGTGTGGGGGGGTGGGACTCCAGGCAGAGGGCTCGGCGGAGGCACGGTCAGGGAGGCATGAAAGGACGTGACAAACGCGGGGACCCTGAGGGGTCATGGAATGAAGGGGGCACCAAGAGGAGGAAGAGGACAGGGGCCAAGGTCACATTAGGGGGAGTCTCGGTACTAAACCTCAAAATCTGAACCTGACCCTGAAGGCCACTGACAGATCTAAGCATAATCGGACTGGCATCCTGGAGAGACGGGCAGAGGAAAGATAGGCCGGGAAGTGGGTCTGGGCGGAGATGCCCCTGGGGGCGCTGTTGGACTAATCCAGGCGAGGAGGAACACACGCTGGGGAAATGAAATGGGGGCTTGGTGATCGCGTGTGTGGGTCTTAAGAAAAAGGTGTTGAAGGCTGCTCCCTGGGGCAATACATGGAGGAGAGACGGGGTGCAGGAAGGGAGAGGGGTCCTCACAGGAAGATGGATGATGAGTTAAGCTGCGAGCCAATGGGGCTTCAGGTGCCACAGGCATGGAGACCATCCCACTGGGGAACCTACTAAAAACTGGAAGTCAGGAGAGCGATGTGCTCCTAGCCCGTCCCCACCCCCAGGGCAGCCTGTGCCTTCCCGGGGTTCCACACATGCGCGGTTCCCAGCACCCCGTGGCCGTGGTTTCGGGAAGGGTGGTCTTTGCTGTCCTCGGTGCTCACTCTCGCCTCCCTCCCCCACTCCCACCCCCAGATTTCTGACTTGCAGCCGGGGAAGCGGTACGCGTTCCAGGTGCAGGCTGTGAATTCAGCTGGTCCGGGGCAGCCGTCCATGCCCACCGACCCCGTGCTCCTGGAGGACAGGCCAGGTGGGGGCAGGCGGAGGGATGGGCTGGGCCGTCCGTCGAGAAGGGGCTCAGAGGGGGTCAGAGGACCATGTGGAATTGCAGGACATGACTTCTGTCCATCCCTCCACCCCCACCCCAGCCCCCCAGCACTCCACACTTCTTCCAGCGTTCCTTCTTCCTGCTGTTTCTCTCTCCATCCCCCATTCCGTCTATTTCTGTGGAATCCCACATTATGAGCACATCTTCTGATTGAAGGGATCTCCCGTGCTTTCACATGCCACGTTCATAAACTCACACAACGCTTCGTGGAGATTGGAAATAACGCCCAACTCCAGTCCCAAGTATTATTTCAGGTGCCACGCGAGGGTTTGCCTATCCTGCAGTCACAGCTCCTGAGGTCCCCTCCCACGCTGTGCCAGGTTCTTACCCTGCCCTGGCCCTCCCAACCAGCCGCCCCAGGAACCAGTTTAGAACGGAAGTTATTGTAGCTCCGAGAGGTGAAATGATCAGGTCGCACAGCTAGGACATCATGGAGTCACTCAGCTCTCCTCTCTATAAGGCATATCTCGTTCCATCTTTTAATTATTCACTCATTCAGCAAATATTTGGTGACGCCCACATCACACTGGGGGTACAGCAGGGATGAGAAAGCAAGGTCCCCGCTCTAGTGTGTGTGTGTGTGTGAGGGGGAGGGCTGGGGGGGGGGGAAGTCAACAGCACAGATGGACGGTAAACAGGAGCCAGTTCCATGAAGGAGACAGCGATAAATGCTATAAGGGAAATGCAACGGGGTGATATGGCGGGGTGAGGGTCACTTTAACGGGGTGCTCAGGGCGGGCCTCTCTGAGGAGGTGACGTTTGCAAGGCCTCGGAGGCCACAGCAGGAGTCTGGGGTTGTTGTTTTATGCAAGTGCAATAGGCAGCCATTGGAGGGTTTAGCAGGGGAGGGGCGTGACCTGGTTATTGTTTGTAAACATCAGCGCCCTCTGTTGGACCCCACCCTCAGATGCCCCGGAGATCAAGGTTGGTGTGGATGAGGAGGGCTTCATCTACTTGGCTTTCGAAGCCCCCGGGGCCCCCGACGCCTCAGAGTTCCAGTGGTCCAAGGACTACAAGGGCCCGCCGGACCCCCAGAGGGTCAAGATCGAGGAGGAAGCTAACAAGTGAGTGAGGGGAGGGGTGGCACAGCTAGTCCACGGGTCCCACGTGTTGTCAGATGAGTCGGCAGAAGCTCGTGGCTGAGACCCCCCAGCAGGACCCACAGATAATGAATGAATGAATGAATGAATGAATGAATGAATGAGTGAATGGGCCTGAGAAGGGATGCTTGTCTCTCACTACGGATGCTGACTGCCACCTTAGGGAGAAATGGAGGAACAGGGCATTTAAGGCTGAAATGACAGCGTTCATTTGGAGTGTTTTTCTGTAAGCAACTGCACAGGACTCCCTTTCTAGCCTGGGAGCCAATGACTTGTTCTTGGAGCATCTCTGGGCTCAGTGTCATCTCACTTGTAAAAAAGAGGGGTTGGGCCCTAGCCAGTTTGGCTCAGTGGATAGAGCATCAGCCTGCGGACTAAAGGGTTCTAGGTTCAATTCCAGTCAAGGGCACATGCCTGAGTTGTGGGCTCGATCCCCAGTAGGGGGCAAGCAGGAGGCATTGATGTTTCTCTCTCTCTCTATCTCTCCCCCCCCCTTCCTCTCTGAAATATAAATAAATAAATAAGTAAACAAATAAATAAATAAAAAGAGGGGTTGGGAACAGATGACCAAAGGTCCCTGTCAAATGCCTCCACCCCAGCAGCTCGTGGCCTCGGCCCTATCCAGCAGGAGGTAATGCTGATGACTTGAGCCCTATAGGGGGAGTTGGGCCGTACAACCAGTGAGACCCTGTGCCGGCCAGCCCTCTAACGGGGGCCACTGAAGGTGCCAGGCCTGAGCTGCCCTGGGCAGGGGACCAAGTGTGAGGAGGCAGCCACCCTGCTCCCCAGCCTGGCCGGGGTCTGCAGTTGGGCTGCAAGGCTCCAAAGCTGACCGAGGCTCTCCAGCCCCCAGGCCTCTAGTGCACAAGGCCCTGCGCGGAGCACCTGCTCTCCTCTCTCTGCCAGGTCCAAGGTCATCCTGAGAGACCCTGGTCTCGAGGACTTGGGCACCTACTCGGTGGTGGTCACCGATGCCGATGAAGACCTCTCAGCGAGCCACACGCTGACTGAGGCAGGTAAGTCCCTGCTCCCCTACCACCTGCCCAGAGAGACAGGCCCAGATCGAGTCCCCCAGAGGCCGGCAAAAAGCAACAAAAGTTTGTAAAGCAGCGATTTCCAGAGAAGTGGGTCCTCACCCACCCAGTCAGCCAGCCAGTCAACTAGTAAATATCTAGTGAGCACCTTCCATACGCCAGGTACTGTCCTAGGATTACTTCCGTGAACTCAACGGGCAAAAATCCCTGCCTGGTGGAGTTCGTATTCTTCTTGTCTCTCTTTCCTTTTTCTAATTTGGATATAAGCAAAGGTACTAGAATTATTTCCCTTCCTTCTATAGCCTTAAAAAGCACACACACACACACACACACACACACACAAAACATTTCGTCAGAGAAATGAGAATAGCAGTAGGGAGCAGTGGGGACTATGACAAACCGGAGAATAGAAAGGTCATCCATGTTGGATGATTTAAACAGAACTGAGCCCTGGCCGGTTTGGCTCAGTGGAGAGAGCCTCAGCCTGCAGACTGAAGGGCCCCGGGTTCGATTCTGATCAAGGGCACATGCCCGAGTTGCAGGCTCAATCCCCAGTAGGGGATGTACAGGAGGCAGCCAATCAATGACTCTCTCTCATCATTGATGTTTCGTGTTTCTATCGCTCTACCTCTTCCTTCCTCTCTGAAATCAATAAAAATATAAATAAATAAATAAAAACAGAACTGAAATCAGTGCTAATGACTGATAAGACTCACTCTCTTCTGTCTCCATAGCAACTGGGGGACAGCCCTGCTGATGGCACAGGAGGTCCTTTGATTTTGTTAAGAAGCAGAAGCCAGACAGACCCAATTACAATCCCACAGTTTTCTGGCTGTTTGAGTTGAGCAAGTCATGTCACCTCTCGGGGCCTCAGCTGAAACAATGTCATGCAGAAACATTTAGATGGCTCTGTGCAAACTAAAGCCGTCAGCAAAAGGGATGGGCTTTTCGTTATGTTTTGTTCTGACAGTATTCTTGCTGTGAGTCCAGACTCATGCTGACGTCTCTGGAGCTCACAAGGGGAAAGGAGACTGGGCTCTGCCGCTGCCAAGTCATCATGCAACACATGTTTATTAGGTACCTACTGTGTGCCGGACACTCATGTAGACTCAGAGCTCTGCTTTGCAGGAGAGAAAGCCTAACAAAGAGGCAGTTAGCAAATGAGGCAGCACTCGGCAGAGCTGCCCTGGAGACTTCTAGACTGAAGTGCTGTGTTGGGGCCAGACAGCCCTCAGAGACCAGGGCAGCATATCACAGGGGGTTAAGAACAGGGCTCAGAACCCAGTGGGCCTGGAGCGGTCAGAGGTGGACAGTAATGCTCACCCCACAGCAGTGTGTGAGGACCAGTGAGATAAAAGCACCCGGCACATAGTAGGCACTTCTCAAGGGAGGTGGTACTTGATCTCAAGGTGACCCGCATCCCCCTCTGCATCCCCCTCTGTTGCCCCAGGGCTAAGGCCCACAGTGCTCATCTTCAACGCCTGTGTTGCAAGTGACCCCAGGTTGAGGGGTGTTTCTCTGGGACGTTCACCCAGCAGGAGCCCTAGGATGGCTGCCCTGGACCCACTGGTCCCAGTATCTCATTCTCTTTGATTTCTTCCTTGCTCTTCCCTGTCCCAGAGCTGGACAAGCTGAAGAAGTTGAGCCATGAGATCAGAAACCCAGGTAAGCAATCCTCAGGCACCTCCTGGGGTGTCTGGAGCAGAGTTGAATCAGCAAAAGCAAAAAACTAGCTGGGGGGGGGGGGGGGGGGACGGGCGGCGTGGCAGGGGAGGGCTTGTGGGGAGGCCGAGGATGGGGGCATCATGGGGCTGGAGGGCAGAGACCTGGGGTGTCAGCAGTGGAAGCCAGGTAGAAAGGGAATGCAAGGAGGGCAGGGGGGATGTTTCTTCTGAGGTGGGTTTTGCATCATGGGAACCTCTGCTTCCCTCCGCTGGCTAGTAGCGGGCAGGGTCATACACTTGGGTGCACATTGGAATCACCCCAGGAGCTTTGCAAAATCCCAATGCCCAGGCCACGCCCCAAACAATCAGAGCCTGGACATTGATGTTTCTGAAAGTCCTTGGGGTCCGCCAGGGTGAGAGGCACAGCCTCCGAGGTGTGGGAAGAGGAAACACTTCCTTAAAATGAGCTCACTAGAGCGAGCCCCACCCCAGTGTGTCTCCTTCAGACATGCAAGCGCTGTACGCAATATGCTCAGGGTGGGGCTGGTGCCGAGTAGGGAGGGGAGAAGGGGCCCAGGCCCACCCCACTCCGTCCTGCCTTCTGTCTGCCTCGCAGTGATCAAGCTGATCTCGGGCTGGAACATTGACATCCTCGAGCGAGGAGAGGTGCGGCTTTGGCTGGAAGTGGAAAAGTTATCTCCGGCCGCTGAGCTGCATCTAATCTTCAACGAGAAGGAGATCTTCAGCTCACCGGTAACTGGAACTCAGGTTCCTTCCTCAGTGAGGTCCCCTGCTCAGCTCCTGGCTTCCCCTGGCAGCGGTTCCCACAGGTCGGCAGCGCCCCCTAGCGGACATATCGGAAACGGTCACAGTGATGGGGTGGGGATGGGGACACCTGGTTTTCAGTACCTGGAGGGCAGATGGCAGGGATGGTAGATGCCCGCCAATGCGAATCCCACAAAGCATTCCCCACACCCCCTACAACATTTGAATGTCCCGCCAGACATTCTTCAGATGAAAAACCCACACTCATACGGATAATGATCCAAGCCTAGACCCTAACTCTGAGATATACAGAGAACTTTTGCACAGTTTTAACATACACTGAATAGTTTTTATTCAAGTAGACACTTCACATATGCTCTTTCATTCATTTTCCTGTTCTTGGACAGAATAATTTTTTATCTTTTTGCTTTTCTTAAATTCAAACCAATTCGTTATAAATCAGTGCAGCATGAGAGTGTACCTGATATTACTTTTATTTCCTGAAATTGCTTTTATTTCTTCTTCCTATTACACTTGTAGTATTCCATTGCCTTTTATAGTTGACACACGAGTTGCCCATATTCAACTGTTTTTACTTACAAAGACAATTTCAATCTCATGGCAGATTTAATTATGAGATCATATTATTTGTGAATTTTATCACCACCAGAAACTATGCGTTGTAGAGAGACGAGAAAGAGCTCAGGGTTAGATGTCACAGGACTCATTTATCATCCCCATCGGTGTGTGCCCTTGGACAAGACCCTTCCCCTCTATGTGCCTCTGTTTCTGCATCTGTACAATGGGGCTGGTTGTCCCAGCATCAGGAGGAGCAAATGAGGAAATAGGTTTGAATGTTCTGCTTAACGATGAAGTATGAACTTGGCACATGGCAGAGGAAGTGTCACAAAGTCTAGACTATCACTGGCCCTGCTAGAAATATAAAATAAAACTGGATGGCTCCCTTAAACCACACATACAAATAAGACCAGAGGGAATAAGGTTCTAAATGCGGAAAAGAGCCCAGCCTACGTGGCTCATCAGTTGAGCGTCGGCCTATGAATGAGGTCACGGTTCGATTCCCAGTTAGGGCACATGCCTGGGTTGCGGTCTCAATCCCCAGTGTGGGGCATGCAGGAGGCAGCCAATCAATGTTTCTCTCTCATCATTGATGTTTCTCTCTCTCTCTTCCTCTCTGAAATCAATAAAAATGCATTAAAAAATAAAATCAATGTGGAAAAGAAAACTTTTAAAACTGTTAGAATATGACAAAATACAAACAAGTGTTAATTCTGGATAGCAAGTTGCACAGGCTTTTTAAATATTATCCTTTATACTTTTATGGAGAATTGTAAAAGAAGTAGAAAAGGGAAAAAAAAGGCACAATAGGGGTTGGATCTTATTATTAATTTTAATTAATTCAAGCACCAAGACTCATCCCTGTGCCTGCCGGACCTCAGGGGTGTTGTTGGGGGCTGAGTGGGGGGGAAAACCACACACTTTAAGCAGTAGAGGGTTATCCAGGTCTCCCTCCCCATCTCTGAAGGCGTCTACTCTGCACATACCTCTCTCCAGGTCTAACTGCACATATGTGCCCATAATGCAAATGCCCTGAGACTGGAAAAGGGCAAAGGTGATTCTTGGGTTTGTTCTCCCCAGGACCGCAAAATCAATTTTGAGCGAGAGAAGGGCCTGGTGGAAGTGATCATCCAGAACTTGTGTGAGGAGGACAAAGGGTCGTACACAGCTCAGCTCCAAGACGGAAAAGCCAAAAACCAGATCACCCTGGCCCTGGTGGACGACGGTCAGCCGCACCCTGCCCACCCCACCCATGCACCCGGCCTCAGCTCGCAGCTCTGGGGTCTTCTGTCCACCCTGATGCCCGGTGGACTGGTGTTCCTCTCGGCTCATGCCAGCCCCTCCCTATGTGTTCACAGATTTTGACAAACTTCTGAGGAAGGCAGATGCTAAGAAAAGAGACTGGAAGAGAAAACAGGGTAAGAGTTACTGGGGTGAAGTTCAAAGGCCTCGGCCACGGGGCCAGGGGTCAGGACTGGGGAACTCTGGACTATTAGGTTAATAGATCCCTCGGCCCTGCTGGGCCCCCAGGGAGGCCACTGCAATTCAGTCCAGCTCTGTCCCTGTGCCAGAATGAAACAGCACTTGCCCCACGAGGAAAGTTTGCCCTCCTTAAATTTTGCACCCTAGGCACCTCCCTTGCCTCACCCTAGCCTCTGCCGTTCTGGTGGGGGCAGAATCTAAGGGGACCCGTGGTCACTAGCTGCCCAGATCCCAGCTGGCTTCCCTGGTCTCGCCACCAGGTGGCGCCCTGGCCGAGCCTGGAGCTCTGACTGGTGGGCGTGTTTGTTTTGCACTTGCAGGTCCCTACTTTGAGGAGTTCTTACAGTGGAAGGTCACGGAGGACTGCCAAGTGTTGCTGACGTGCAAGGCAAGTCCCTGCCCCTGCCTCCAGCCCTGCCCCGAGGCCCACTGAGCCTCTATCTGTGGCTTGTCCCCAAGCCTGGTGGCTGCATTTGCTCTGCTCCCACAAAATCCATACCCTGTGCCTGGTTGATCCCACACCTGCAAAGTAGCCCAGGGAGACTGCATTTAACCAGAAAGCAAAGCCACCCTTCGCAGAGCCCAGGGAGCAGAATTAGGGTGAGTTGGGTCAGCCTGGAACTAGGTCTCCAAGCTGCACAGGGTAGGAGTTCTTTGGGGCCTGGGGTCTGAGAGCAAGTGAGGGGTCTGTGTGTTGAGCAGGTTCCCTGGTATCTACCGGCCGCCTTGCCAGACACTCTGCTCGGTGCTGCAGAGCATGATTTTATTTCATCTGCCTCACGAGCATCTGTGAGTTAGGCATTACCACCCCCACTTTACAGATGGGAAAGCAAACAGGGAAGTCACTCAAAATCAACAGGTGGAGCCGCGAGTCTGTCTGACTCCGAGTGGTGCTCCTTCCCAGCACCCTGCGGCCTCTTTAGGGAGCTGGGGGGGGGGGGGGGGTACTCTCCCAGAGCATATCCGTTCAGCAAACTCAAAGCACCTGCTGTGCACCAGACACTCTGCAAGGCACTGGGCACACAAGGAGGAGGAAGTGGCCTCCTTAGGAGCCCGCGGTCTGAATCAGGATCCTTGGAAAACAGCGTGCCTCCAGCTGCGACCGAGACTCGTGTGCATGCTGGGGGGCTTCAAGGAAGGCTTCCTGAGGGAGGTGACAATTGACAAGGCTAAGATGCAGAGGTGTTTACAAGGAAAATAGAGCAGCAAAGGGATCGAGAGGCAGAGGGAACAGCATTAGCAAAAGTCCTGAGTCCAGAAGCCAGCAGAGACATGGGTGTGAGGAAGAAGGTGGCTGGGACTTACAGTGAGGGTGTGTGTGTGCAGGGGAAAGTGTCATATTTATTTAAAAAAAAAGTTCTGATGAGCTGAGTTTTTACTTAAAAAGAGGAAGCCTGATGGAGCCAGTCTCCACTTTCCCCAGGTGACCAACACCAAGAATGAAACCCGCTTCCAGTGGTTCTTCCAGAATAAAGAGACGCCGGACGGTCAGTACGACCCGCAGACCGGAGCAGGGCTTCTCTGCATCGAGGAGGTAAGTGCAGCTCCGGGCAGTGCCAGGAGCTCCGGGTGCCAAGTCAGGAGCAGGCCAGGGCTAGGGTGAGGCCGGTGAGCCAGTCGCCGCAGGTACAAATGTAAGGGGGCACTAAAACTCAGTAATCAAGATAAATAATATTTCAGCCCTCGCCAGTTTGACTCAGTGGATAGGGCATCGGCCCATGGGCTGAAGGGTCCTGGGTTCAATTCCAGTCAAGGACACATACCTCGGTTGCAGGCTCCTCCCCAGCCCTGGTCAGGGCACGTTCAGGAGGCAACCAATCGATGTGTCTCTCCCACATCAACGTGTCTCTCTCTCTCTCTCTCTCTCTCTCTCTCTCTCTCTCTCTCTCTCTCTCTTCCCCTGCCTTCCATTCTCTCTAAAAATCCGTAGAAAAAGTATCCTCCAGTGAGGATTAACAACAAAAGATAAATGATATTTCATACAATATTTTTTAAAATACAAATAATGGGGCCAGGGGAGGCATGGGGGAAACAATACCAAGATTTTAAATAAAGAGAGGATCAGTAATACTGATTTTCCCTTTTGTGTGGACTCCAGTCCTGGCCCTGCCCCTGTGTGGCCTTGGGCTAGTCACTGTTCCCCTCTGACCTCAGTTTTCATGGTGGGAAGGGATGCTCTCTCAGGTTCCTTCCTGCCCTGACAGGCTAGGGTTTTAGGGTGTGAAGGCCGGGCACCAGGCCCAGGACTCAGTTCACTCACCCACATCCCCCGTGGTCTCTGAGGAGGTGACCTGGTTAAGATAGAAACGCAAGTCTTGTTCTCAAACATTCGTGTGTGTGGGGAACCGGCACGGCCATGGCATACTCAGCCCCAGGGCGCCTTATGTGCCATGCCAGCTCAGCCTGGTTCAGTGACTCTGAGTCGGGGAGTGAAAGGATTGAGAAAAGACAGACAAGAGAATGAAAGCTGGGTCTCGGTGGGACGCTGCTCGCTGATGAGGACACGGCGCCAGCACCCACAAGCCGTGTCTTTAATTTATAGCAGATGCCACGAGGCAAAGTAGGGGCGTGATCACGTTGTTTACAGCCTTCTCGTGAGCTCCAACCTCACTCAACTACATGCACCCGAACTCTAGCACAAGGCACGTGGGGCTACGTCAGCCGTGGGCAAACTACGGATCCGGCCCGTTTGAAATGAATAAAACTAAAAAAAAAAAAAAGACCGTACCCTTTCATGTAATGATGTTTACTTTGAATTTATATTAGTTCACACAAACACTCCATCCCTGCTTTTGTTCCGGCCCTCCGGTCCAGTTTAAGAACCCATTGTGGCCCTCGAGTCAAAAACTTTGCCCACCCCTGGGCTACGTGTTTGGACCGTAGGTTCAAGCTTACAACCACAGCCATTGGCTATGATTGTGCTGGGCGGGCCCTGCCCTCCAGCTGGGACTTGCACGTGGCAATGAGAGGACCCTGTCCTTTCATTAGTCCGAGGCTTGAACCTGGCCAAAACACCATACCTGCGCCCCACGCGTGTGTTTCTGCCCTGCTGCTGACTTCTGCGGCCGCACTGGGTGCCCAGGGGGGCTGGAGCAGCACGGACCTGCTGGCGAGGAAGGAAATGATGATTCAGGGTCTTCACCCACATCCCGGCCGGGACGTTGCCAAGTTGGCCTTTGTCCTCATGGTGCAAGCTCCTCACACAGGGCTTGGCACTGAGTAGATGCTTAATAGCTCCTGAGTCTTATAATCATCCAACCCCCTTAGTGCGAAACTTTCTGGCTTCCGAAGAGGCACCTCCCTGCTCCTCACAGCACGGCCACCACGGAGCCAGGCCAGGATTCTGCCACCGTCTTAGATCAGTAAACCGAGGCTCAGAGGGTTTAAGTGCACAGGCCCAAGGCTAGAGAGCAGGGTCCGAAGTCACTGCAGTCACCTTCCCCAGGTGTGTGGGTGGGTGGGGCTGTGGAGCCTTCACTTGGGGGCGGGGGGAAGGACTAGGAGAGGACTCTTGGGGTTTGGCCCTTTGGTCCCCAGGTGAGGAGCTGCCTCTGCCTTGGCCGCGGCCTCACAGCACACGATGTAGAAATGGTGGGGCTGAGGGGACAGGGAAGCAAACATCACTCCCCAGGCCCTGAGGGAGATGCTGGGTAATGAGAAGTCCCATCTGACCTGTGGACCGTGTTTGAAAAGTACCACTCGGCCCTGGCCGGTTTGGCTCAGTGGATACAGCATCAACCTGCGGACTAAAGGGTCCAAGGTTCCATTCCAGCCAAGGGCACATGCCTGGGATGCAGGCTAGATCCCACCCCCCCACCCCCCCTACCTACCCCCTACCCCAGTAGGGAGCATGCAGGAGGCAGCCAATCAATGACTCTCTCTCATCATTGATGTTTCTATCTCTTTATCTCTCTCCCTTCTTCTCTGAAATCAATAAAAATATTTTTTTAAAAAGTACCACCCAGTAAGGCCAGTGTGGCTCAGTGGTTGACCATTGACCTATGAACCAGGAGGTCATGGTTCAATTCCCGGTCAGGGCACGTGCCTGGGTTTCGGGCTCGATCCCTAGTGTGGGGCTTGCAGCGGGCAGCCAATCCATGATTCCCTCTCATTATTGATGTTTCTATCTCTCTCTCCCTCTCCTTTCCTCTCTGAAATCAAATATATATATATATATATATATATATATAGCCACACAAGTTAATGGTTTACTTATGTGTTGCTTCAGGCTTCATTTTGGGGTTAACGAGCATGGGCCAGAGAGGACCCCCTATTCCTGAGGGAAGGAACACACTTCCTTCTGAGAGCTGCAGGGATCCCTCCTTCCAGGGCCCCCGGAAGCAGGCAGTCCAGGTGGGGGGTGAGTGGTGCTGGGACAGGCTCCACGGGGAAGGGCCACTCGCTCTGCTTGGAGCAGCTGCTCTCGACTGTCCACCCACCACACCCTCAGGCCCCGACCAGCCCTGAGTTGGAATCAGGGGGCTCTGGAGCTGGAGGGAGCCTTAGAGCGCACCCATTCCAGATGGGTAAACTGAGGCCCGGGGAGGAGATGGGTCTTGTCTGAGATCACACAGAGAGCGAGGCCCGGCCTGGAGCCCAGCTGACCCTGCCTTCACCCACTTCTTTCCAGCTGTCCAAGGAGGACATGGGAATTTATAGAGCGGCGGTTTCTGATGACCGAGGGCAGGATGACACCATACTGGACCTCACAGGGGAAGGTAGGAGCTCACAGGCGATGTTGGAGGTGGGCCAGGGGTAGAGCACACTGAACCAAGAGACAGTGGTCTGGAGCCCCATAGCACTTGGGGCAACTGAGGCCCAGAGAGGTTAAGCGACAGGCCCAAAGCTGCACAGCTAGTCAGTGGCAGGGGCCTGTGTGACACTGATGCCCATGTTCACAGAAGCATACCACAGTGAGCCCAGGCTTCAAAACTCCCAGCCCAGGTTCACTCCTCTGCCCCACAGGGGCCCCTGGCTCCTCGTCCAGCTGTTGGCGCAGCTGGCAAGAGCATTGTCAGATCAGCCCAGTTGGCCTCCACCTGTGGTGCCCCTGCCTTATCCGTTACTCAGTGCCCCAGGCTCCCTCCCGCCTGACCGTGGCAGGCATCCTGCAGGGCTCCCTGTGTCCCGAGAGCTGCTCGTGAGCTCCTCCAGCCTTTCTAAGGATGTCCCCCTCCTGGTGCATCCACGGGGGAGTCAGACATCCACTGACCACTCTCTCTGTCTCCCCCCAGCCCTGGATGCTGTCTTCACGGAGCTGAGCAGGATTGGTGGTAAGTAAGCCCCTCTCTGCCCCACCCTCCCTGATGCCAGATCACCTCCAGGGAGCTCCAACCAGCCTTGGCTCCTGGGGGTGGGCTGAGCCTCCAAAGGACAGGGGGCGGAGGGAGGAGAAGCTCCTGCCTCCTCACAACACTGCATCCTCCCACCGCACCCCACTCCGAGAACAGGAACAAGCTGGCGGGCCCCAAAATGTGCTGCCCGAAGGAGCTCGGGGGAGACTCACGCCTCTCCTCTGCCTCCCCAGTGCTCTCTGCCACCCCACTGGAAGTCCAGGGGACGGAGGAGGGGATCCGGATCTTCAGCAAGGTCAAGTACTACAACGTGGAGTACATGAAAACCACCTGGTTCCACAAGTAGGTCGGCTTTACCCTGGAGCCCTAGCCTGGCTGTAGGGGGCCCAGCCCAGTCCCAAGGGGTCGGCAGACAGGGTCTCCCACTGGTCCTGTTGTCCACAGAGGGAGTCAGGAATTGGGAGCAGAAGGGAGGTCCCCCAGGGCAGCTGAGTAGCCTGGTGGTAGGACCAGCTTAGGGCAGCCTCTGGAACTGAGGGAGGGAAGGGTGCAGGAACCAGGGCGAAGCAGACAGCCAGGTGGAGGAGGGGGTCATGGTTCCCTTGTGGGTCTCTGCAGCCTTAGCAAACTCAGGCGCAAGCAGAAGGGCCTGTGGGGCTGACAGCTAACTGAGGGCCAGGGCTTGAAGGTAGGATAATAAGGTATCCACGAAGATTTGACTGCGAACTAAGTAACCCCAAATTGTATGAGAGCAGAATTTTTCTGGTGCTTCTCGTCATTTGCACTCCTCAGCCTTGTGGAGCAGACATTGCTGCACCCATTCTGTGAAGAAGGCTATACTGACGTGGTCAAGTTTGTCAAATGAGTGAGAGTTGAGGCCAAGTTGAATTCCAGGATAATGAAGGTCCTACTCTAGCATTTCTAAGCCCTGTGACTAAGCCCAGACACAGGAATTAGAAACACAACTTCTGCAACACAGCACTGGGACATGGGCCAGGTATTTTCAGGATGAATTTGAAGTTAAAAACAAAAACAAAAAAGGTTAGCCCTAGCCAGTTGGGCTCAGTGGATAGAGCATTGGCCTGTGGACTGAATGGTTCTGGTTTCAATTCCATTCAAGGGCATGTGCCCAGGTTACGGGCTTGATCCCCAATAGGGGGCAAGCCCATCAATGATTCTCTCTCATTATTGATGTTTCTATCTCTCTCTTCCCCTCTCTCTTCCTCTCTGAAATCAATAAAAATATTTTTTTAATAAAAGTTTAGCCCTGGCCAATCCAATGTGTCTCAGTAGTTGCATTGTTGGCCTACACACCTAATTGTTGTGGGTTCAATTCCCAGTCAAGGGCATGAACTTGAGTTGCAGGCCAATCCCCAGCTCAGGTCAGGTTGTGTTTGGGAGGCAACCAATAGATGTTTCTCTCTCTCTGTCTCTCCCCCTCTATCCCTTCTGCTCTCTCTAAAAATCAATGAAAAAAATATCCTCAGGTGAGGATTAACAAAAAAAACAGCAACAAAAAAGTTTAAATGGTTTCTTCCCAAGGGCGAGGGGAGAGTGATTGTGGAAAAGCCCTGGGAGGATTAAAGAGGAGGAGAATGAAGAGGCGAGGGCGTGACTGGTGGTCACTGACCTGAGCACTACTTCCTCCGATTCCCAGCCTGCGGGACATGGCACAACACACTCAGCAGTGGCACATAGTTGGTGGGCCACAGGGTTTAATGGATGGATGATGGATGGATGATGGATGGATGGATGATGGATGGATGATGGATGGATGGATGGATGATGGATGGATGATGGATGGATGATGGATGGATGATGGATGGGTGGGTGGATGATGGATGGGTGGATGATGGATGAATGGGTGGATGGATGATGGATGGATGGATGGATGGATGGATGGATGATGGATGGATGGATGATGGATGGATGGATGGATGGATGGATGATGGATGGATGGATGGATGGATGGATGGATGGATGATGGATGGATGGATGATGGATGGATGATGGATGGATGGATGATGGATGGATGATGGATGGGTGGGTGGATGATGGATGGGTGGATGATGGATGAATGGGTGGATGGATGATGGATGGATGGATGGATGGATGATGGATGGGTGGATGATGGATGGATGGATGGATGGATGGATGGATGGATGGATGGATGATGGATGGATGGATGGATGGATGGATGATGGATGGGTGGATGATGGATGGATGGGTGGATGGGTGGCTGGATGATGGATGGATGGATGGATGGATGGATGGATGGATGGATGAGGGATGGATGGGTGGATGATGGATGGATGGGTGGATGGGTGGCTGGGTGGCTGGATGATGGATGGATGGATGGATGGATGGATGAGGGATGGATGGGTGGATGATGGATGGATGGTTAGATGATGGATAGATGGGTGGATGATGGATGGATGGATGGATGGATGATGGATGGATGGGTAGATGATGGATGGATGGGTGGATGATGGATGGATGGGTGGATGATGGATGGATGGATGGATGATGGATGGATGGGTGGATGATGGATGGATGGGTGGATGATGGATGGATGGATGGATGATGGATGGATGGGTGGATGATGGATGGATGGGTGGATGATGGATGGATGGATGGATGATGGATGGATAGGTAGATGATGGATGGATGGGTGGATGATGGATGGATGGATGCATGGATGAACAGTTATGGAATGTCTCATGGATGCTCACCACCTTCAGCTCAGGAATCTGGAAACAAAACCCCGGGAGAGGGTTTGGGGCCGGGGGAGCCTGTAGACCTGCAGACAGAAGTCTGTCCTGAGCAGCACAGGTGGGCTGCGCCGTGTTGACCATTCCTCTGCCCCACATTCAGAGAGAAGCGCCTGGAGAGTGGGGACCGGGCGAGGGCTGGCACCACGCTGGATGAGATCTGGCTCCACATCCTGGATCCCAAAGACTCAGACAAGGGCAGATACACCCTGGAGATAGCAGCCGGGAAGGAAGTCCGGCAGCTCTCAACCGACCTCTCGGGGCAAGGTGAGCTGCCCGCCTGTCTGTCCCCAGTGACAGCCCCATGATCTTTGGGGGGACGGGGGGGTGCCCATCCCCACCCAGCCTGGCATTGCCCCAAGAGAAAATGGGCTGGGAGGGGAAAGGGTGGAGGGCTGGTGGCGCCCGAGCCCTGCACCCGCGGGTCACAGGGGCAGGCGCCCTCACACCCCCTTCCCCTTCCCTGTTTCCTTCTCAAGCTTTTGACGACGCCATGGCTGAGCACCAGAGACTGAAGTAAGTTCCTGTGTGTTCCTGTGAAAATCACAGGCCCGAGGGTCCTGCATGAACTGTGCACAGGACCCCTTTCTGGGAGCCGGCCAGCTCTTCCTTTCACTCCTCGCCCCTCACCCCCACCCGCGCACCCTGTCCTTTAGCAAGTGGAGCCCTGAGCCTTTTCCCATTTCTGTGTTTCAGAGCCTTGGCCATCATTGAGAAGAGTAAGTCCACCGACATTTCCACTGTTTTCATTTCCGGGGTTGGGGCGGCTTCCAGGGAGCTTATGGCCCCTGCGAGGCTGTGCAGGTCCCAGTGGGGTCTGTGTGGCTCTGAGCTGTCACGGAGCTGCCAGGGACACCTGGGCGGTGACGGCGTGAAGACAGATGGGTAAGGACTCCGAGGGTCCCTGAGACTGTGGGCGTGGAGGCACCCAGCATGGACCAAGTGCCCAGCAGGCCCATGGGCAATGTCAAGTGCAAGGTCAGGTGGAACCCGACAGATAGGGGACAGACAAGAACAGGCTGGGCTGGCTTCTCCACATGCGGTGTAGGGAGGGGCAGACTTTAGAGCTGAAGCTGGTTCTGGCTGGTTCTGGAGCCTCATCTCATGAGGGCCCAGCCCCAAACCCGGAGGGAGGTGTTGCCGTGTCTGTGCTGCCTGGGGCGCCCACCCCCTGGTCCATGTACCTGAACTTCGTCAGGTCTGCCCCAGCCAGGGCTGGACCACCCCGTTCTAGGAGGCTGCCTGTGTGGTCCCACTGACCCGGCAGATCAGAGTAGGAATTTCAATGAGGAAAAGACTTCTGGTGGCCTCACAAAGCAGCCCCGACAACGCGACAACCAGGGAAGAAACTGAATGACTCTGAGAAACAGAAGCGAGAACTCAAAACTGCTAGCTGGGGTCACCGGTGGGAGAGGGGATTCTCCCTCCATAGGGACATTGTCCCTGAGTCTCCCCACTTGGCGGGAAGTGCGGGCCTCAGCATTCATTAAGGTAACTGGGAAGTGGGGGTCCCCTGGCCAGGCAGTGGGGAGTCCTTTAGGGGCGTGGCCTCTTAGGTGGCGAGAGTGCAGCCCGAGACCCCCCTCAGCCTGCGCCTTGCCAGGAGGTGCCGCCATGATCAGGAGGCTCACAGCCCGTCACACCGCCATCCACTCACTTACCCAGCACGACATCCCTCCCATCCTGGGATGCGTGTCCCTGGGCAGGACACCTGTCCGGGACACTAACAGAGGGAGCTGAATTCGCCACACACGGTTGCTGGGCTTGTGGAATCCAGAGTCCAGGGAAGTGGACCCTTTTACCAGCTGTGAAGGGCCTGGCCACCGTTCCACAGCGTCCATCTCTGGGGCCTTCTCCCCCACCCCGATCCAGGGTCCTGCTCCCCTGCTAGCCATCGGACTGACACCCGCCACTCAGGCTCTTTGCACATCCTGGTCCGTGCTCTAGGGCCCACGCTCCCACCCCCTCCTGCTCCCACAGCCTCACCTGCAGCCTAAGGAATATATACTTCCTATTGAGTGGTGTGCAACCACTCCCCTTGCCCACCCACAATGGCCACCAGGTCCCCTCCTTGACCAGAGCCAGTGTCCCAAAAGCTTCTGTCCCATTCTTCCTTGTGCCTCCTCCCTCCCCTCCCTCCCCCCCCCCCCCCCCGGAGTCTCCGGTTCATCAACACCTACTGTGTGCTTTTGCCAGTTTAAGGCTCAGAGCCATCTTATGTACCGTCTTTCCCAGTTCTTGAGGGGGGGGCATCCCATTGCCCCCTCCAGGTACCACCAATCACGACGAAGACTTCAAGTCAATAACAGAAACACATTATGTCCCCTACTTTCTGTGTATAAAGGCAAGGAAACACGTGATACAAATTTAAAGATTTCCATCCCTAAAATGATGAAAATAGAAAACAGGAGCATAGCTCAGCTCTATGGAAACTTGCTTCTGGGACGCAATCTGCAGGAAAACATTCATCACCGGGGTCTCCCTTTTTCCTTGCAGATCGTGCCAAAGTGGTGAGGGGCCTGCCAGATGTGGCCACCATCATGGAGGATAAGGTACAGACCGTCCCCAGCCCAGGGCCAAGTCCCATGCTGTGTTCCCTCACGTGTCCATCAAAAATCATGGCACAGCCCTGGCCGGTGTGGCTCAGTGATTAGAGCGTTGGCCCGCATATCGAAGGGTCACAGGTTCAATTCCCAGTCAAGGCACAAACCTTGGTTTCAGGTTCAATCTCTGGCCCTGGTCAGGGCGTGTGCACAAGGCCACCAATGGATGTGTCTCTCTCCCATCAATGTTTCTCTCCCTCACTCTCTCCCTCCCTCCCTCCTTTCCACTTCTAAAAATCAATGGAAAAAAATATCCTTGGGTGAGGATTAACAACAACAAAAATCATGACACCCTGTAGCAATGAGGATTCCAGCGCCTGGCCAAGTGACACCACCTCATGGCCACATGTAGTATACAGGAAGCGTCTGAGCCTGGGGTCAGACCCACGGGGGTGCTCACCCCAGCTCTGCCAGCTCGCTCTACCGGCCCTGGGTGTCATGAACTTCCTCTGTGAACTTCAGTTTCCTTTCGGAGTTCAGTTAGATGACCCCTAAAAGCCCTTCCAGGGCTGCAACTATGCAAGTCTAATATTTAGAAAATGACAGCACTGTTATTACGGTGCTTACTCTTTGCCAGGCACTATTGCGTATGTATTACATATTTTAGCTTGCTTAACCATCAAGGCAACCACATGGAATGGGATATTATTACTAGGCACACTTTATAGCTGAGAAAACTGAGGCCCAGAGAGGTTAAAGGACTCACCTAAGGTCACACCGCTTGAAGGGGCGGAGCTGAGTGTTTGACCATCACATTATACGGCTCTGATTCAGAGCTTATTTAAGAATTTTCAAACGCAATTTATAAATCTTTGTATTAAAGCAAGATAGCCTTATTTGCATATGTCATAGTGACATATATAGCACAAAAAGCAATAAAGCAAAGTTCAGGCCATTCTGGGGCAGATAATTGGCAGAATAATAATGATCTAAAACCCTAACTCAGTGGTTCTCAACCTTCTGGCCCTTTAAATACAGTTCCTCATGTTGTGACCCAACCATAAAATTATTTTTGTTGCTACTTCAAAACTGTAATGTTGCTACTGTTATGAATCGTAATGTAAATATCTGATATGCAGGATGGTCTTAGGCGACCCCTGTGAAAGGGTCGTTCAACCGCCAAAGGGGTCGCGACCCACAGGTTGAGAACCGCTGCCTAACTAGTAATTATTCTTGTGGAAAAGTGGAGGATGAAGGAAAGTTGAGGATGGAGGACGTGGGGTTAAAGTAAAATGTCTCTCCCTTTAATGTTATCCCTTTATGTGATACACTAAAATGCACAGAATGAATTTATCACAAGGAACAACTTGCACTGGGAGCTCTCTGGGGGAGTCACGGCAAATGCCCGGGGTTACTACAAGGAGCTGATCAAGCGTTCCCTTCCTGTCTTTCCAGACCCTGTGCCTGACCTGCGTCATCTCAGGAGACCCTGCCCCTGAAATTTCTTGGCTGAAAAATGACCAGCCTGTCACCTTCCTTGACCGCTACCACATGGAGGTTAGGGGGTCAGAGGTCACCATCACCATCGAGAGGGTCAACAGTGAGGACAGCGGGCGCTACGGCGTCTTTGTCAAGAACAAGTATGGCTCTGAGACAGGCCAGGTCACCATCAGTGTGTTCAAGCACGGGGAGGAGCTCAAGGTGCTGGAGAAGAAGTGATCAGACACAGCCAGGAGAGGGGGTGGGGTGGGTGGATACACCAGGGTGGAGCAACAAAGACCAGGGTGGGGTCCCCTCCAGGAAAGTAGGATCAGCCCTGGACTTGGAAAAAGACACCTCTGAGCAAGACCCAATTTCAGCTCTACAGTCTCCATCAGCCTTGCCTTTCTCGTCAATCAAGCAGGAATTCCTACTCCTAGGGATTGTTTATGAAAACCTTTTATAAACCATGCTAGAGGCCCAGTGCACAAACTCATGCACATTGAAAGGAAATTAATTAGAAGAAATATTTTAGAGGCCGGGGAGGGACCGCGGGAGATTGGCTCCTGGGCATGTCTGGCCCGTCTCGCCCAGTCCCAATCGGCCGGACCCTAGCAGCAAGCTAACCTACGGGTCGGAGTGTCTGACCCCTGGTGGTCAGTACGTGTCATAGCGTCTGATCGAGCAGTCGACCATTCAGTCGGACACTTAGCATATTAGGCTTTTATATATAGAGATACCAGTGGTCCTCCACAAAAGACAATGTCCAAGTTTTTGGTTGTCACAACTGGAGGTGTCTATTGGCAAAAGTGTCTATTGGTAAAGGTCAGGGTGCTGCTAAGCACCATAGCTCCACTCCACATGGAATTATTCAACCCCAAATGTCAATGATGCCAAGGTTGGCTAGCCCTGCCCTAAAGTGATATATCACAATATCCCTCTTCTAGGATACTATATTTTCTATTCACGTAAGTTCAACAAACATTCATTTGAAGTCTAGCATGTGCCAGGCTGAGGATGGCATTGGGAGCACAAAGATAAATACTATTCAGGCCCTGCTGCCCAGGAGGCTTCAGTCCATTGGGGAGAGTCAGACCCGGGTACAAATGACACCAGGACAAGGCAGATGATAAGATTATAAAAGTGTAAGTAAAGTGCCACTCATGGTCAAAGGAGAGAGACAGACGTCCGTCCCAATTGGAGAAGGGGTGCTTTCAGACATCTTCATGGAACTAGCAGAATTGTGTTGGACCCTGAAAAATGAGTCCAATTTGATGGTGGTGATGTGAGGAGGACATTTCAGGAGTGGGGAATGGTGGGAGCAAAGGCGAAGAGGTGGATGATGCTGCCTGGATGGCACTGGATGCCAGGCTGGTGAGCTGGATGACCTTCAGGACGTCTTCAAGCTCAGGGCCTCTACCTGCTATGACAGATACCAGTTGGCCTTGCTTGATGGACCTCAAGTCAGAGCTGGGCATTTCACCACTCTCCAATTTCCTTATTTTTTCCATTGATTTTTAGAGAGAGTGAAGGGAGGAGGGGAGACAGAGAGAAACATCAATGTGAGAGAGACACATCACATCGATTGGTTGCCTCATGCACATGCCCTGACCAGGGTTGCAGATGGTTTCTGCAACCGAGGTACGTGCTCTGGGCCGCAATCGAACCCGTGACTCTTCAGCCCATGGGCTGATGCTCTATCCACTGAGAAAAACTGGCTAGGACTCCTTCTTTTTTAAAATAAGATTTGGATTGGGTGGGGTTTATAAGGTTATGGATGTTTGTTGTAAAAATTTAGAAAACCATCCTATATAATAAAAGCCTAATATGCTAAGTGTCCGTTCAACCAATCAAGGAGTAATATGCTAATGATATGCTAAGGCCACCCAACTGCTTGCTATGACGTGCACTGACCACGAGGGGGCAGACGCTTGACACAGGAACTGCCCCTGGGTGGTCAGTGTGCTCCCACAGAGGGAGCGCTGCTCAGCCAGAAGCCCTGAGCTGGGCTCATGGCTGGCGAGCACAGCAGTGGTGGCGGGAGCCTCTCCTGCCTCCACAGCAGCACTAAGGATGTCCAACTGACAGCCTAAGCCGTCAGTCAGACATCCCCCGAGGGCTCCCATACTGCAAGAGGGTGCAGGCCAGGCTGAGGGACGCCCCCCCCCCAAGTGCACGAATTTCATGCACTGGGCCTCTAGTGAAAATTATAAAAAAGAAAATAAAAATCACCTATAATTCCAACACCAGAAGATAACTCACCTCTGTTTTCTGAAATGACTTCTGAACTTAAGGATAAAATGAATCATTCCTACATCTACCACCTGCACATGCATCAGGAATGGTGGGTAACATATCCCCCAGCCCAAGTTCTGGGCTCATGGTTCAGTCATGCCAGGTGTTCAGGGGAGTGGGGTGGCAGGAGGACTTGAACATGCCCTGGCCAGGAATGAGTATGGGGAATTGTGCAGGTCTTGGAGGCAAACACATTTTGGGCAATTCTTTTCCTTTCTCTGGGCCTTGATTTCCCACCTATAAAAAAAAAAAATTTTAAAAAAAAGAATGCTACCCTGGCCCGTTTGTTAAGTGGTTAGAGCATCAGCCCACAGACTGAAGGGTCTCAGGTTTAATTCCCAGTCAAGGGCATGCACCTCAGTCACAGGTTTGATCCCTCACCCTGATTGGGGGCAGGGGCAGGAGGCAACCAATCCACGTGTCTCATATCAATGTTTCTCTTGCTCTCTCTCCCCAAATCAATGGAAAAAATATCATCGGATGAGAATTTAAAAGAATAAAAAGGAAGACTGAAAGATCATTTTTGAGGGCCCTTTCAGCTGACACTGATATTACTTCCCCAAACTCAATCCTCCTCTGCTTTTCTGGTCTCATGATGATCTGATGAAGAAAAAGGCTCATCCCCACCCTCCCTCCCACTCTCGTACTTGGCATCTCAGAGGAGAGACTTGGCTTCTTACACGTGTCAATGAAAAATGTCACCAATTTCAAAGAAATCAGCACAGTACCCATGCACCCTATCCCTAGCAGCAGTCCGGATATGCATCCATATGTACTTCATCTTCACACAAAGCACCCTCCCTCTCCTTCACATGATCTTCACCGAACACAGGGAGGTAGGCAGAGGTCTTGATGTCGACAATAAATCACAGAGGCACAACACTTAAGACAGCGGTTCTCAACCTGTGGGTGGCGACCCCTTTGGGGGTCAAACGACCCTTTCACAGGGGTCGCCTAAGACCATCGGAAAACACATATAATTACATATTGTTTTAGTGATGAATCACTATGCTTTCATTATGTTCAGTTTGTAACAATGAAATTGGGGGTCACCACAACATGAGGAACTGTATTAAAGGGTCACGGCATTAGGAAGGTTGAGAACCACTGCCTTAAGAGGTTTTAAAGCATTCTCATACTGCAGAGCTCATCAGTTCAGTGGGACAGCATCAGGGGCCCCCTTTTTACAGATATGGCAGTTGAGGGCCTAAATGGTAAGTGGCAGGGCCAGGTCAAGGACAAGAACAAGGGTCCCTGGATCCTGGTTCAGAGGCATTCTGCTCTGCCACGCTTCCCCTGAGCCGAGCAGACCGGTATATGGAGCCCAGAGGTGAAGCAATGATAGTTCTTAATCAACACGTGAGAATTGCCAAGGTAATGAAGGAGCAAGTCAGTGAGCAGATGTGTAAATGGAAGTCGCCATTGTCCAGAAGGGTAACATTTCCTCCATGGAAGGAGGGGGGCTGGGTGGGGATTGTGGTCCACAGCAGTTTGTCATGAGCTGTTCTCTGAGTAACATTTATCCCTCCTGTTGGCCCTGATGAAACATGGTGTGAGCGCCCCCTGTTGGTGGGGAGCGGGATTGCATGCTAAGAAGCTCAGAGGCAGTGCGTCCTGGGGCTGTGAACTGTGATTTGGTAACAAATAGTTGGGGAACTAGAGCTGAGCCCTGTTGTGCTGTATATGGACAGTCTGTCTTTGTCCACTCTCCCTGGATAGAGTCCTCAGAGCAGCATCGTTGAGCAGGCTTCCTGCAGACTGGGATCCCCATCACTCTTGTGTGCTCTGCACTTTTTCCCTGCTTCCACCTCACGGAGCCCAGGCACCGCTGGTTTCTCCACTGGCGTCCCACCCAGGAAGGCTGTGGACAGGGCAGGTCCCAAGAGTGGGGCAACGGGGATGGAAGTAGACCTTTCATTGGTCTCTCTCAGTTCGTCCCACTTAATCCCAATGAAACCTCAGTCCACTCAGATGGGAGAAAGTGGGACGAACCTTGCTAATGGATATTGTGATATAATAAAACTAGAGGCCTGGTGCACGAGATTCGTACACTGGAGGGGGGGCAGTCCCTCAGCCTGGCCAGTGCCCTCTCACAGTCTGGGAGCGGGCCTGAGCCGTCAGTTGGACATCCTTAGCGCTGCCGCAGAGGCAGCAGAGGCTCCCGCTACCACCACTGCGCTAGCCAGCTGTGAGCCCAGCTTCTGGCTGAGTGGCGCTCCCCTTGTGGGAGTGCTCTGACCACCAGAAGGCAGCTCCTGCATTGAGCGTCTGCCCCCTGGTAGTCAGTGTGCATCATAGCGACCAGTCGTTCCACTGTTTGGTTGATTTGCATATTAGCCTTTTACTATATAGGATAAATAAATATTTGGTCTTTGGTCTTTGTCCTTGGTTCCTGACACACAACTCCTGACCTATGGAGTCTCAGAGATGCTAAGAGTGTCTTTTGCATGCTAATGAGATGACTTCTTCCTGGAGCTCTTAGATAGCTTTAAGATGGGCGCCTGTCTCCAGAAAGCCCAAGGCATGCTCATAGGGTTGGAACTTTCTGTCCCACCCTGTAACTTCCAGGGAGGGGAGAAGGGCAGGAGATCGACTTAATCACCAATGGCCAATGGTTTGATCAATCATGCCACAGTAATGAAATTTCCTTAAACCCCTAATGATGGAATTCCGGGTTTGTGGACACATCAAAGTGTTGGGAGGGTGGTACACCCAGAGAGGGTATGGCAACGACACACATATTCTTGCCCTATGCACCTCTTCCCTTGACCATTCATCTGTATTCTTTATAATAAACCAGTCAATGGAATTAAAATGTTTCCCTGAGTTTTGTGAGCTGTTCTAGCAAATTATCGAGTCTGAGGAGGAAGTCATGGGAACCCCTCAATTTATAGCTGGTTGGTCAGAAGTACAGGGGGCAAGCTGGGACTTGCGACTGGTGTCTGAAGTGAGGGCAATCTTGTGGGGGTTGAGCCCTTACACCTGGGGAATTGGGACACTTAACTCTGGGTAGTTAGTGTCAGAATTAAATTACATACTAGGGCACCCAATTAACATCTGGGGATTTGGAGAACTGGTTGTTGGTGTGGGAAAACCCACACATTTGATGTCAGAAGTGCTGTGAACCAACACAGGTTCAGAGTTGTCACTCAACCACCTCCCCGTGGGGTCTCTTCCATCTCATCTACTCTATCTCCTGAGCCCAGGGTAGGTGGCGATGGCACGCAATTATCACCCAAAGAAGCCAGACTCCACAGCTTCACCTCATTCACACTCTACAGCTTGAACTGCCACCCTTCACATTATTCTCCTCTTCCCAACCCGTTCCCGATAGCCTCCACTCCTGCCCATGGCTTCCACCACTCCCAGCATCCAGCTTGCTGGACCCCTCTGGCTCCTGCCTAGCTATAACTCCCGACTGCTCCTGTATCGTTCTTCTACTGGCTCACCCTGGGAAACGTCTCAGTGGGGCTAGCCTGATCCCTGGCACCCTGCATGGGACTCAGAAGGTCAGGAACTTTGTCTCCCTTACCTAGTGGAGCAAACACACAGTCCCAACATCCTGCAGGAACCCTCCATGGACCTCCGGGCACGCCGGACTCCAGGGAGCCAGGTAGGGTGTGCAGGCTGAAGGAAGGACAGACAGCCAGTGGCTTCCTCCTGTATCACACCACCGGCCACTCCTCCCCGACACCCTTCTGCCACTTTCAGATACCAGCCCCTTTCAAATACCTGCAATCCTTAGCCTAAAGCAGTGAAACCCTAACTTAACTCTTTTTTTTTTTTTTTTTTTTTTTTTTTTAAATACACATGCCCTTGACCGGAATCGAACCTGGGACCTTTCAGTCCGCAGGCCGACGCTCTATCCACTGAGCCAAACCGGTTTCGGCCCTAACTTAACTCTTGGTGCCGTGTCACATATAGAAATTTTTTGATATTTGCAACCATAGTAAAACAAAGACTTATATTTTTGATATTTATTTTATATATTTAAATGCCATTTAACAAAGAAAAATCAACCAGCCCTAACCAGTTTGGCTCAGTGGATAGAGCGTCGGCCTGCGGACTGAAGGGTCCCAGGTTCGATTCCTGTCAAGGGCATGTACCTGGGTTGCAGGCACATCCCCAGTGCGGGGTGTGCAGGAGGCAGCTGATCGATGTTTCTCCCTCATTGATGTTTCTGGCTCTCTATCCCTCTCCCTTCCTCTCTGTAAAATATCAATAAAATATATTTTTTTTTAAAAAAAGAAAAAGAAAAGAAAAATCAACCAAAAAAATGAGTTCGCGTGTCATAGGTTCGCCGTCACTGGCGTAAAGCATGGAGAGCAGGAAATAGGGGAAATATAAGGAGCAGGAACCCTGATGGAAAATGACTGGCCTGTGTAATAACCTCTACCCACCCAGCCTCAGCCGAGCTCTAGTCAGATGCTTTCCATACCTTAAAATTTCCAACTCATTTCAAACAACTTGGGTGACATGCCAAAAATAGTTTCAGAAGCAGCACTCCCCAGCTGTCTCTAGCTAGAGGAAGGAAGCCAGGTTTTTGCCTTCCAGTGTTTTAGAAAAGTGTAAATCCCGAGGCCAGAGGAGTTTCAGCCAAGAAGTGCCCTGGGTTGAGAGCAAAACAA